ACATACGGTCTTATTAAGAAGAGCAAGAATCAAAGAAACACCTGAGTCTGCAGTCGGGCCACAATCTCCTTCCTCGCTTTCATGACCGAGTCCAATTTTCCAGTCACCATGATGGAGAGGCCTTGGTCCTTGGCAAGCGAGAGTTCGATATGTGCTCCTGTCTTCTGCATGATATCCAGGCACACTTTCGCCTCCTCACCCTCACCAAACTGACTGTTGTCTTTATACCGCCTCTCCTCCAGAGGGACATGGAACACCTGAAAGTGCAAAGAGTGTGAAAGGGGAAAAAGACATGGTGGCTTGACAAGAAGAACATTTTTTCAGATGTCCAGCAGCTTATTCACAAACAATCTGTGGAGTAATAATAGTCACCTGAGTGATGACAGAGGCTTTGATGGGTCGGATTTTGCTCCAGGCACCGGCCGGCTCACCCGTCTTCTCACCTGGACTGCCCTTGTCTGGCAAAGGTGGAAAGGCCTCCAGATAGGTGGGTATATATGCTTCATCCTCTGGCACTCTACCTAATAACAGACAATAAGAAAAGAAGGCAACACTTTATTTTACAGTGTACTTGTTATGTTACATGTACATGGACTGTAGTAATAACAGTAAATGATACATAATTATATGCAACTAACCCTAGAGCAAGCCTACAGTACCTGTAAAAAGTTTGGAAACATTACAATTTATTAATGTTTTTGTAAGAAGTCTCTTATGCTCATCAAGGCTACATTTGTATAATCAAAAATACAGTAAAAATAAATAAATTCAGTAAAAAAGTAATACTGTGATATAATAATTGTTTTCTATTTTGATAAATTAAAAAATGTATTAAATATATTCATGTGATGACAAAAATGTTCAGCATCATTACTCGAGTCTTCAGTGTCACATGATCCTTCAATAATCATTCTAAGATGCTGATTTGCTGCTTTAGAAACATTTCATATTATTATTATTATCAATTTTGAAAACAGTTTTTGCTGCTTAATATTTTTGTGGAAACGATGATACCATTCAAACATTTGTGGTAAGATTAAAAAAATATATAGAAATCAATACATTTATGCAGCAAGGGTGCATTAAATTGATCAAAAGTGACTGTGAAGACATTTATAATGTTACAAATGACTTTTATTGAATAAATTATTAATCAAATTTAATAAATACATTTAATAAATGAAAATAAATGCTGTTCATTGAACTTTCTATTCATCAAAGAATCCTGAAAAAAAGTATCACCATTTCCACAAAGAATTAAGCAGCACAACTGTTTTTAACATTAATAAGAAGAAGAAACAACGTATTTTCATTATTGATTATAAACAGTTTTATCGATTAGTTGTTGCAGCCCTCTTTATATTTCCTGCCATTACACATGAGATTAATTGTGGTACAAAAAAAATTTGTTTCACCCCTAATTTTGCTACAGTCGTCATACCCGTGTTCTCAAAGTCCTTCAAGCCACTGCGGTGCTCCGCAAAACTCTCCTGAGTCAACACTGCCACAGAGCTCATGTTTCAAGACCTGATCCGCTATCCTGTAGAGACCAGGAGGAAGAGGAGGGACATGTAGGAAGATATACAGAAAAACAAAAATATAACAGCAGAGAATATCTAGTCCAAACACACAACCTTAAACAAAACGAACTAAAAGAGCATAGCAGTAACGGACTACTTTTATTAGAGTGATAAAGTGCATGCAGACTCAGAGCTCAGTATTCTCTGTGGTTTCAGCAGCCCAGCAGGGCCTCGACACACACTGGCATCTCCCTGAGCCCAACAGCATCTCTCTCCACCTGAGCTCTCCAATTAAACACACTGCAGCTGTGTAATCTGACGAAAAGCCTAAGGGCTGTCAAATCGATTCATTGCATCTAATATAGAAGTTTGTGTTTATATATTATATGTGTGTGTATATATTATTATATTTATATGTATACACACACACACACATACACATGTATATATATATATATATATATATAGACGGTAGTCAACATTTGAAGTGGATCAAACCTTTCATCAAAGTTATGAATTTTGAACAAAACCCGTTCTTGTCTTAGGACAACTTTGATGAACTTGTTTGATCCACTTCAAATGTTGACTACTGTATACATACATATATATATACACACACGTCACATATTAAATAAACACAAACTTGAATGTCAGATGCGATTAATCAATATGTTAATAATAATATATATATATACGTCTAATATATTATTTGAAAAATATTTGGTTATTTATTTACTAATTTATTTACTTATTATACTAAAAAAATATATATATTTATTTAATCATTTGTTGACTTATTTTGATAACATTTTTGTTTTTATATTAATCACATTTAAATATATTTATTTTAAGCTCTTTATTTATACATTTTCCTCTAAACCCTCCTAGAAACCCTTAGCGGCCTCCTGGGGGTCCACGGAGCCCAGTTTGAAAGGCCCTGATCTAAAACAAGCGGAATTGCTAGGGAGAAAGATGTGACAATGAAAATAATATGATATTTTGCATTTTCAAGTCACATTTTTAGTATTAGTAGTCATTAGTAGTCCGTAACAGTTCTCAGGAAATATCTAAACTGCACACATGCATTAAAAACTAGTTGTATTGAATTCTGTAAGTGTGTGCAACATTCTTGGCAACTTTTTTTTTTTTGCTTTCAAATATGCCTTAATACCACCATAACGCAAAGACAGAAAATTTCCACCCACCTGCAAAGGGTCGAAAACCAGAAAGTCCGTCCAGGTGGATGCTACGTAGAACTATTCAGTGTCAGTGTGTTCGTTCAGCACTGTGTGGGTGAGGTTAACAAAGAGAGATTGTAACCCGCCTTGTGTTTACATACACAGCATAAAAAACAGCATCTTGTTGCAAGGCCCTCTGAGGTTGACCAGGGAGAGGGGCCACAGTCACAGTGGTCTGTCCTGTGGGAGGCAATAGCTAGATGTGGTGCTAAGGATAGTCTTCACTTCACTCTCAGGTGACTAGGTGTCTAATTGGTGTGTGGGTGTTTGTGCTTACTGTAGTGACGGCAAAAATACAGACACACATTATATTTACACAAGGGATTGACACATTTTATACATACCCATTTAACACCCAGTGAGAGGCAAATTACCCATGTAGTAGAATAATACAAATCATATAATAGAGATTTGGGTTATAAGGCTGACATTTGACATTCGTCATTGTCTAATATTGTGAAGATCTATTCGCAGTGTACGTGTGGGTAGAGGGGGGGAAGCCCTTACATACGAAGGTTTTCATTTATGCAAGCCACTTACAAATGTTTATACATAACCTGCATAATATCACAACATGCAATTCTAATGCTCTTTTGTCCATTAACATACGATCTAAAATGCTTATAGCAGGCTCATTGCATGAGCCATATCATCTGCAAGCTCGGTGCAGAAGCAGATCTGTGTTAACAAATACTACAGGAGCAGGCTAACACAACCTGACATGTAACAGCGCAATTGCCAGTAAAAACAGCTGTTAGAACCTCGAATATCAAAGTGTGGTAGATATGCATTCTGTATCGTGTTGGTAGTCAGTTGTAAATATTCTAGCTTGCAAAATATATATTCTGAATATCTGAGTTTAGCTGGTCAGCTAATCTGCTACATGTAACAGCTCGTTAGCTACAGAGACACTGTCTATTTCTCTTTTAAATACGATCATCCGATTGCAGAAAACGCGGATATGTTCGTTCCGTCAACAAAACGGTGCGATAAGTAACGTTAGCACGTCTACGGAAACAAAAACAAGTGATCACCTTATCAGACGGAAAAGCCTAGACGCTGATCTGCTGACAGTAAACACTGCTGCTCTGAGAGTCGACTCTTTAACTGAATCGAATCCTTGATTAATGAATTATCATTTTTAAGGTGTAAAAAATGTGTATTATTTTTTTTATTTATATGATTCGTTTGTTAATTGTTTATATGTGGTGATGAATGTTAAATCATGGAAGCAGATAATTATTTTATTAAAACAATTATTGAAATGTAAAATATTGGTGTACAATTATTTCTTTTATTTATTTATTGCTTTCACGAACCTTAATTTCAGGTCTATCACTGTATGATAAAAAAGTCCTTTCTATGGTGTATATTTTGACAAATACAATATGTCCTTATTTTTTACATATTTGACTTATTATCATTATCATTGCCATTTTATAAATTAATTTTTTTAATTTCCCTCATTCCTCTAGTTCAGACGAACAAAACAGTCAAATTTGTGATTAGACTGTGGAACATAACAATTATAAATTGTGGGCATAAATGGTTTTGTATTTGCAGGGTTAAAAACAAAACATTCAGGATTTGCATTCGCACCCACCTGTTTTTCAAAATAAAAGACTGGCAGAGAATGTCCGTGTTAAACTAATTTTAAAGCCTGTCGTTTAAAAAAAAGTCACTAAATAGTATCTTCATGTGCAATATTTTATAGCAATTATATAAACTACTACACTAACTACAGCTATGTATACCCTGTTTATTATTTTGTTTGTTTATTAAACCGATTTGCTCATGGGAAACGGCCATTTCCATATTGTGCAAACTGTATATTCTATCCATAGATTCTATCCCCTACCCCTAAACCTATCCATCACAGCAAACTGCATTTTTACTTTTTCAAAAAAAAAAAAACATCACTTGGTATAATATTTAAGAGGTTTTCCTCATAGGGGCCAAACATGTACCCACAAGGACAATGATTTAGAATATTGCCATCTTTGTCCCCATAACGTTCAATAGGGTATTCCTGAACCACACACACACACACACACAGAGAGAGAGAGAGAGAGAGAGAGAGAGAGAGAGAGAGAGAGAGAGAGAGAGAGAGAGAGAGAGAGAGAGAGAGAGAGAGAGAGAGAGAGAGAGAGAGAGAGAGAGAGAGAGAGAGAGAGAGAGAGCGAGCTCTCCGCTGGGTGGCAACTAAAGGAGGGTGTGCTCTGTGCAGGAAGGAATGGGATGGGAAAGAATTGGGATGGGAGGAGGGGTATGCACTAATCACACTGTCCCTGTCCGGCTGTTCCTACACACATGCTCACGAGCAGGAAAACAAAGAGCCGGAGATGCGCGTGGATTTACCGGAGAGGACAACAAAAGAGGAAAGACGAAAGTAACGTCTGATCAAATCCGCACGGATATGAAGTTCGCTCAGGAATGTGGCGATCTGTTGCTGTCATTTTAAAGAAATGTATTAACATGGATGTCTGTGAAACTATTATGTGTTCATGTGCACTGTGAGAGTTACCCCACGCGACTCAAATGTTTTTGTTTTTATGAGGAAATTTACTCTGGACACATTTCATCAATTCGCTTTTCATAATGGATTAAGAAAGTGAGACACATTTGGTGAGTAGTCTATGTAAGACAGTTTTTGTAATCAACTCCTCAACTGTGAATATAGCATACATGTATGTAGCCTACTGCATCTTACCTAGTGCTGTTTACCATAGTCAGATATCATATACTAAATTAATGACAGGTTCAGTGGTTACATCATGTTGCATTTACACCATTCAGTTTACACAGCAGATCCTTGTTAGTCACGTGAACAGCATTTTAGGGGTATTGACTTTTGGACTAATGATTATTATTTCATTAGCATATTTTTTCCAATCTTTTTCTATTCTTCTATTGGTTGTATATACAGGCAGTTGCAAATAGCCTGTGAGTGTGTGTGTGTGTATTAAATGTTTCTGATGTATATCACAACAGTGTATCTAAGGAATATGGAAGCAAATCCAAGGTTCACAACAGGAAAGTGGAGGATTCCGATCCCAAGATTGTTTATAGATTGGAGGGGAAGTGTCTTGTACACATTTTTGGAAAAAACTGACCATCAGTGAATACTTGGGTGTCCTGTTTGAGGGGATGTTTACTGTAGTTTAAAATATCAGAAGGATGTAAAAATTAAGAAGCCTTATCACCCTTTTAATGGTAACTAATTAACCCTTCCTATTTCACCCCATGGGAAAGTGTTTCTTTTTAGCATTGTGCAATGTTGAGCTTTGTATGTTCAGGATATCAAATTTGAGCACACTAAGAACCTGACAGACCTGCTGAGTTTGTCTGAGGGGCGAGAGTCTAGTGAAGTCAGTGACGCCAACGTTCAACCTGAATAGTTGATACGGGAAGTCGTTTTGACACACCCTTTCCCTTATAATATCCTCAGACTGGTTTTATTCCAAGCCAAGAAAGTTAAGCTAATTAAGTTATTAAAATGGTTTTGTGTAGTTTTACATTAGGGGGAAATAACCATAAAACGATAAACCACTAATTGTGTGGTTTTAATCCCATCATGCATTTCTAAGACGTGGATAGTCTTTTGGAATCCGAATGGGTCAAAGTACACGGTTCTTATTGTAAATATGACATTTTCAGCATATTTCTAATATGCTGTTTCACAGAAGAACCAGTCTGATTGGAAGTTCATCTCATATTTTATTCAAAAGTCTGACTGTTGCCTGTAAGAGCAAAGTCCAATGCAGTTGAACCTGTACTGTGTGAGGTAATTCTAGTACAAAGATCATTGTGCTTTTTATTTTATTAAATGAGTTACTAGATGTTAATCATCACATCAAATGTTTTATAGTTCAAAGGACTTTGTCTTCTCCTAAGGTTGCAATTACAACCTAGGGATATGAAACTGAAAGAATAAAAACTAGGGTTGGACGATATGTTGTTATTTGCTGATATTACAGATTTTTCTTTAATTTATCGTATTGGCAATTTTGGATATGTGCATGCTTTGTACATTTTAGATTACCTTTGCCATCATCTAATGTTTATGTTTAATCTTTAAAAATATTAATAATTTAATAACAGTGTTAAATGTGTTAAAACATAATTTTTTATTCTGTATATTACAATATAGTGATGTCCAAATGAATTAACGTACAGCATTTAAAATGACTACTTTGGTTTTTAAGTGTTTTTTAATTTATTTGGACAAAACTGTACAAATAGCATAAATCTTAAAGTCGGCATGAAATGAAGATTCACTCCATCTGTCTAACTTTTATACATTTTTTTGGACCTCGTAATGTTTAATCAAATTGTCATATCTGGATCTTTCCAGTGAAAACCACCATTTATTCCGGTGATGTATGCAGGACTTCTCCAATCATTTCACCTGCTTAAACCCCGCCCCTGCAAGTTCATGTTTCAAATTCAATGCGCAACCTATGGCATATTTTTTCGACAACCTGTTACACTCTGATGTATGCCACAATATTGAAGAGAAGATCTGTTGCTACGTCTGTTTTATCAAGACTTTCATCTTCATAGACCATAACTTAAAAATAAATATAAGTTCATCAGTATCAGACAGAATTGTAATATCTCTAATGAAAACATTACAGTGTCAGATGATCTGGGATTGGTCAACTGATGGAAAAAGATGCATCAGTCATATGTAAAGCCTATTGTTTGTTACCACAGGTTGAAGATTGAAGGCACTGGGTGACCCTGCTTCCTGGCCTCATATTGGCCAGGTTGCTTTGGTTTAAAACATCAAAACCAGTTAAGATGTCTACTCAAGAGTCTCCACATCTGCCTACGAAACCTGAGGTAAAACAAAGACCCCCTGTTCCCACCAAGCCCACCAATAATACCCCAGACACCTCATCCGTGGAAGGAGCAGCCTTACAGAGCTCTGGGAATGTCAAAAATATAGTCAACAAATTCAGCCAGCCAGAGTCTAAGATTCCAGCTGGAGATACAGCGAAGAGCACCAGCATAGAACGGAGACTACAAAGACCTCCTGCAATTAAGCCCAGGCGCAAAACGAGAAGTTCGTCCCTCTCCAGCGCTGACAGGGCACCTCCTCTGCCTCCAAAGAGAAGGCAAAACAGTGGACAGAAAGACGAGGTGGACAGCCAAGAGAGACAAGAAGGAACATCGAGTGCTGTCAATGGAGGCCGATCAGGTACAGTGGATTTACTTTCATTTTCAGGAACTTTTGACCTACTTCTGTGGAATATCTATGCTTGTTTTCTAGGAATTTTCTTTCTCAAAGTTCAGTCACAAAGTTAGTGGTCGACCGATAGTTGACATTTTTTAATTATCCATTTCAGTGATTCAGCATACTGAAAATCTGCATTTAAACAAGTCTTTAAATACCTGTGAAACATTTCCACAAACTTTGGCGAATACAGCTGAAGAGCGCATTGACACGAAATAGCGCTCTACAAGAACAAACACTCTTTGCATGATTTCTGTGCGAATGATCCAAGGCGTGTGAATTGGATGACTTTGGCTGTCACTAGACATGCACCAGCAAGCAACTTCACACTATACTGCGCAATATCCAAGTTCCCGTTGTCACGTCATGTGTACTGTGTGTAGTGTTCATGTGTATCATGAGTCAATTTTGGCCAATACCAATAATTCTTTTATATATATATTTTGGTGATTACAAAAACTAAAGTCTCACCATTAAAATCTTATATGACAGACTTGCGCAGCACATGTTGCACTTAACTGTATTTTACTTTTTTGAAGTGATTCCAATCATATTTCAAGCAATTCAAAACCATCATGGCGAACAGTGCACATCTGAAGGAAATAATCCATTATTTATCGGCTTTAATATATCAGACACATTTTCTTATTGGGCCGATACCGATAACATTAAAAGCGAACATATATCAGACAATACCGATATGGTGGCCGATATATCGTGCATTCCTAAAATTGATAGATTTTCCAATAATTCAATTCCTATTATTTTAGTAAATATTATGTCAAATAAATAAATATAATTGCAATCCTTGTGCTATTTTTACTATGATTACATTAAATAGTCTGATATTATATACATCTGCTTTGTATCGGCCACCCTTCTCTCTAAAATATTGGCATCAGCATCGGCACCAAAGAAATCCACAAATAGCTACAAACTAAAACAATAAAGCAGTTTTGTTACTGGTACAACATTCAAGCACCCTAAAAGTATTTACATCTATAGTCATTGTAACCTTCTTTGTGATTGTTTGCTGTGAAATGCTTTAAATGCTCGAGCTCTTTACAGTTTGGTGGATTCTGATTGGCTGTCATTGTTTTTATTATTCATCAGCTTGACAAAATCGTTCTGAAAGTGATTCCAATGATATCGTTTCTCTGTGCCGTTACCTTTATCGTTGTGGTGTGGACTCTGCTATTCTTTTACATTTAGAACGATTTTCAGAACTATATCTTTATCGTTATAGTTGTCGTCCTTGGTGTGAACGGGCCTTGAGGCATAAAAACTAGATAAAGAGAAAGAAATAAAGACAAGGACAAACATGCAGAACAAGTAGCGTTTGCGGGGTTAAATTAACGGCAGCAGCTACTAAACTCATATTTTAATCCGCTTTAATCTGATCTTCATCTGAGTGGGTGTTGTGAGGATAAACTCTGCCGCTCTATGTTAGTGTTGCTGGTAATCTGGGAAAGATTGGAATCTAAATTGCTAGTTTGGTTTTCACAACAAAGCTTTGTGTGTGTGTGACACATTTCAGAAATGCAAGCTATTTGTGTTACATACAGTAGTGCTCAAGTCAGTTTTCTATTTCTAATTAAAACTCCAACTTTCTTGTACTTTTCGTTTAGTTTTTTAATTCACCGAACCATGATTCAGGCACATCGGAGGTAATTTTCTTGGTTGTTGTTTGGTCAGTCAGTGGGATTATAGTGTGTGTGTGTGTTGTCTGCTGAACACACAGACAGATGGGGTGTAGCGGATAAAAGAACCCCCCTTGGAAACAATTACATTAAATCTACATTACCATTTAAAAGTTTGGGGTAGATGAGATTTGTAAATGTCTTTTGCTTATGCTCACCAAGGCTGCATTTATTTGATTAAAATTGAACGTATCCTTGACCTTGCTAAATAAAAGTATTAATTGCATTAATCTTATGACCTATTGAACAGTAGTGTATATATCTAATTGATTGAAATGTATTGCAGAAAATGTTTGTGACATTCCTGACTCAGTGAACTGCAGAATATGGTGGGATTTGTTGCATATGGAAACTATATGCAACTGTATGCAAACACTTTGAAGTCAAGCCTTTATTTGTATAGTGTATTTTTCACAATACATATTAGGGATGAACAGTATGACTAAAATCTTGCATCATGGTTTAAGTAATTTGAATACTACCCTAATGGTGTTTATATATAGTTATTTTTGGTGGAAACCCTGATTTCTGGAACAAAAGAATGATAAGTCTGGCATCTGATGCAAAACTCATTAAGCTCATTAAACTGATTAAAAAAAAGGAACAGCAAAGACTTTTGCATTGTTACAAAAAATATTCTATCTTAAAAAAAATCACTGTTTCCACAAAAAGTGAAAAAATGTATCATTGCAAAACTGTTTTAAACTAATAATAATAAAAATAAATGTTTCGTGAGCAGCAAATCAGCATATTATAATGATTTCTGAAAGATCATGTGACACTGAAGACTGGAGTAATGATGCTAAAAATTCAGCCTGTCATCACAGGAACAAAGGACTTTTTAAATATATTAAAATAGAAAATAGTTTCTTAAAATGATAATAATATTTAACAATAGTATTTATTTTTACCGTATTTATTTTTACTGTATTTATTTTTACTGTATTTATTTTTACTGTATATATATTTTTACTGTATTTTTTATCAAATAAATGCAGTCTTTGTAAGCATAAGACAAAAACGTAAAAAAAAAAAAAATTATTGGATAATTATGATCAGGATTGCATATACACTACCGTTCAAAAGTTTGGGGTCAGTGAGAATTTTATTTTTATTTTTTGGAGGAAAGAAATCAATACTTTTATTTATCAAGGACAGTAAAGACATGTATAATGTTACAAAAGATTCTATTTCAAACAAATGCTGTTCTTTTGAACTTCCTATTCATCAAAGAATCCAAAAAAAAACAAAAAAAAACTGTACAACTGACAGACCAACAACTGTTTCAACATTGATAACAATAATAATAAATGTTTCTTGAGCATCAAATCCTCATATTATACTGATTTGTGAAGGATCATTTGACACTGAAGACACTGACACTGGTGATGCTGAAAATTCAGCTTTGATCACAGGAATAAATTACACTTTACTATATATTCACACAGAAAACAGCTGATTTACACTGGAATAATATTTAATACTATAACTGATTTTTGTTGTATTTTTAATCAAATAAGCGCAGCCATGGTTAGCAGAAGATAATTCTTTTAAAAGTATTTAAAATCGTACCGACCCCAAACTTTTGAACGGTAGTGTATATTTGACATAAAATATTAATATATACATATTGTTAGTAAGACTGATTCAATTATAGATGTCAGCCTTTTGTTTTGGATTTAATACTGAGAGAATGTGCCCTGAACACTCCCAGGACAAGTTTAAGAGCCATATAGAGAAAAACTTGACCTTCTTTTGGTTTTACTTCCTTAACATTCCTGTTGGACATCATCTGAAAATGTAATGTATTGTTCATAAAACTCTTTTACATGGACAATTATGTTAACTGAGCTAGTGTGACTTGGAGGCTAAGAATTAACATGCAAAGTGGCCTTTATGTGATAATTGGGGTAATAAACCACTCCCAGCCTTACCTGACATACGCGTTCAACTAGTTCAGTTTCCAAGAGAGAGAGTTTCTATAGCAGGTCAGTCACCGGTGTAGTGAAATGGCAGAAGGGCTAAAACTAGCATTTGGGAAGATCAAGCAAAATGTATTTGAGGCTCTTGAAGAGCTGCGGGCTAAGGAAGGGCAGGAGGGACAGACACAGCGCAAAGGTTCCATACAGAAGTTGACGGCACTGATAACGGCAAGCTCAAAGGTGGAAGAATCAAAGCAGAAGAAGGGATCAAAAAGAGGTGGTAATCAAATATCTTTAAAACCCTGGAGGATATGAAGCCTTTCTGGAACGACCAGAATTAGAGTATCAGAATTTAGAGTATTCCAGTGACATACAGTCGTGGTGCTAGTAAGGCTTGTAGATCAGAATATGGTCAAATGTACTTTATTAACTAATAGATATCACCATACTTCTCCAGTCAATAATCATTGAACATTAAGACATTACATTTTTATTACAAGTAAAAAATTTTTTTTAAATGTGCAAATGAGGTATTGTATGATTAAAAACACACTTGTTTGCATATATGTCCAGAACAGAAATCTGAACATTGGATAAAGCCAGGTTAAAAAAATGATTGTTCATTTTGTTGATATACCAGAGTTAAAGTTTTTTTTTTTACTATAATTTACTGAAGGGATTTTGGATATCTGTTTTTACCAGTCCATAAATCAGAAAATACTGTTAACAGCCAGAAAAAAACAATTTAGTGCATGAGAAAAAAACAAAACAATTGTGTAATAAACACTTAAATGTGTGTTTTGGATGTTTTATTTCCAGTAGACTGAAAGAAGAGATGTTTTGGAAGCATTATCCCGAAATTGACCAGTGCTTTTTGCCTGTAGTATCTTGCCTTAATTCATAAATAGACCTTAGTCAGGTTAGACGCCATATTGAATTTAGTAGATGAAAATGAGGCTGTGAGGGATAGACGTACAGTCTTTACAATGGCACGCACTGTATAAAGGTCCTAGATCACACATTTTTCACAGCTCACAACCTTTAAAACTGTTTTATGGAGGTTTTTGTCTATTGAAAGTTTTTTTTTCTTCAGAAAGACGTTTCGTCAATTGGTATGTTGTTAAACAGCAGTAAAATCCATTATTCTATCCCTCACAGTCTCGAATTCATTCCTGTCAAAAATTCAATTTGGCGCTACCCTGACTAAGGTCTATACCATCCTTTTTTTGCCGTGTCGCACCACAAAGCATTTTATGACCTGAACTAACCTGCTTCAGAGGATATACAGTACTGTGCAATAGGTACGTTAGTATTTTCAAAAAAAAAAAAAAAAGGTTTTAAGCCAGTTATTTTTTCTTTTGCTGTAGTGTGTAAGTAGGAAATATCAGTTAACATTTCCAAACATTCCTTTTGCCATTAATTGTAATAGGCACGTTAGTATTTTTTATATTGCATATACAAATCTTACTGAATTAAACATAATTAATTTAACATGAATTTAAACATATTTACAGAACAACCTGTACATTTTACAGTATAAAACTGTGATTTACAAACAAGAAAATTGCAATTTAAAGCGGTAAATCCAACAACGCACACTGCTATTAAAATATATTTTGCAGGTTTTTACGTATGCTGACAACCACCATAAGGTGTTAATAGAGGAAGCCACATGAAGAATCATTAAGAAGTTCATCACAAGTAGCCTTTCCACAAGCTAGCTGAAGTCATTCACGCAAACACAGAACACCATCATGGTGGTAACACACATGACATGACACTAAAATAATCCAATGAACATTCATTAAACAACAGAAGATGTAACATAAAACCCAAATGTGCATAACGGATAACAAAAACTTCCCTGTGTGAAGTGTCACGCACTATGAATTGCATTTTTAATGTACTTTTGAAAACAATTAATTGATTGGACAGCTGAACCTGATTTCACCAAGTACATGTTCTTGGATCAACATCTTTGTTGATCCTGGATAAACATTCCAATCAACCAATCAGATTTGAGGGACAAGTTTACAGTTTATGTCAAGTTTAGGCTTTCAAACCAGGTTTAGGTGCTTCTACATCAGTGTTATTCATATATAATTTCCCTCTGATTTTAGGTAGAGTTAGGTTCAGGGGTAGGGATATGGTTAGGATTGAATTTTCCGACAGGAATGTTGTTCCAGGATCAACAAAATATGTTGACCCAGGAACGCGACTAACTCTGCAAAATCAGGACGTGCGATTGGACAAATTAGTATCATGTTTTTGACCCAACTTCATGTTGGAATTTGCAGGAAAGCCTAACCCTGACCATAATCCATGTCCTCCTCTAGCTCCCGATGGAAAAGAAGGCGGCAAACTGCGAGCAGATCAGGATTCTAGCCCTGTTCCAGAGCATCAGTGTGAGAAGAACTGCGGCTGTGCGTGTCACCTGCAGAGGCCTGGCATGAAGCTTGTGTGGGTGCCAATAAGTGAGGAAGATGAGGATGAGGGTGAGGATGAAGAGATCGAATTCAGTGACACGGAGGATCCGAATGAAAGAGCAGGAGAGGACGAGAACGAAGAAATAAGGTCAAATAAGGAAGCAGAGTCTTTAAGTGAGCCATTACCTAAAGGTGAGAACAAGAACGAGGAACCGCAAATTAAAAAAGACAAGTTTCTGGAGGCTCGTAACCTAATAGAGCAGCAGCTGAGGAGGAAATCAGACCCTGGACCTCCGACATTGATCGCCTCTGTTGTCACATTTCCCCAGACTCCTCCAAACGTCTCCAAAGCCCAGTCTTTGGCGGTGCCGGAGGAGTCCATTTATGACATTAGCCTGGAGGTGGTCACTCCACCTAGACCTCAAAAGGGGCCGGACACTGTAACAAGCAAGGACACCCCTCCAGCCGTTCCTCCCAGAATGCCTTTAGAAAACAGGTGTCCGCCTCGCATTATTCAGCCTCTGCAGCCCTTCAACAAATGCAGCCCACCTGGCAGTCCTCGACTACAAAGAACTCCGCCACCACCACCAGCCAAGACCTATGAGAACGGAAGACGCCTCAGCAGTTATTCTCTCAAGTCTATAGGTACAGAAAAACATTGAAAGTCGGCATGAAATCAAAATAGACCTCTATTCAAGGGATAAATAAAAAAATATGTCATAAACACTAATGTTGTTCCAAACAGTCTTGTTTTAGTATTATGTACTGTTAGTATACATTATATAGTATTTTGAATGAGCTGAGCTTTTTTAATATATTTTTCATTTTCAAAGCTTTCGTTATTTTGTTATCTGCTTGTGGCATTTTTATTATTATTATTTAAATATTTCTATTTAGCTTTAATTTATTTCTATATCAGCTTTAGCAATTTTAGCACTTCAATTTGAATTAATTTTATTTCAGTTAGTTATATTTGTCATTTTCATATTAGGTTTTTAAGCTTTTTTAATCTAATATTTATATTTAATTGAATTTCAACTTTATTTCTGTTAACTAAAACAATTTAAAAAAAATTATTTTAGTTTTTGTTTCCACGCCTGTATGACTGACTTTCTTCTTCAGAACAAATTCTTTCAACGCCCACTTTTCAATCCTGATCGATAAAATCAAGTCCTGTTACATTTTATTTGTTCTCTTTGAATATCCTGTTTCACTCAGAAATGCTTCATCATACAGAAGTAAAGAAGGTGTTTGCAGCCTTTTATTAAGTGAATTTAGTGTCTGTTTTATGATACTTCATTGTTTCTTCAACAGATGAAAATGACAGTGAAGGGGCTGATGGGGAAAAATGTGGATCCAATGAGAAGTATTTTCTTTACCTTTCATCCCTCAAACAGTTTCTGCTCTCTTAAGCTTTAATATTGTAGTGACACAGCTGTTTTTACTTTGTCTTTACACATATTTGTCTTTACTTTGTGTGTAACTCAATCTCTGTCTTCCAACTCCAGGCCTCCACGAGTCATCCCACGTCGCAAACAGTCTCTTGACTTGGAAGATGGGATGTCTGAGGGTATCATTTTTTTCAGATTTAATACATCATCAATTTAAATTGAAAATGTTGAAAGATAGACCTCATGCATGTTTACAGTAAAAAAACACTATTGAGAAATTGTACAGTCCAATAAAACAAAGAATAAATGATGTCTTCACCTACAATTTAATGCCATATTTTGTGACCCTTGCAGAGCTGTATCAGTTTTACACAGAAACATTTATACACAAGGAGATCAGGAGGACAGTGTGTCGCAACATCAGTAAGACCAGCTTAGACTTCCGGATGGACACACAGCTCACAGCCAGCCCAGAAAAAGGAGAGAAAGGTTCCAAATCCACTAACATTCCAATTCTAAAGCAGAGCAATTTATGGCGAGACCTGCCAGCGGTACGAGACAGTGGTGTCCTGCAAACCCTAAGCCCAGAGGAGTGCAAGTATCAAGAGGTGAGCAGAAATCCTCAATGAATGTGCTATAAAACTCAGAGAAGAACACGCACTTCTGGGAAGAGCAAGTGCTGAGTTTTGAGGTTATGATTACGGATTATGGAAGAATTGTGTTTGGAAATATGGAAAATGTGATTCGAACGAAAAAGAGAAGTAAGACAGGATGGAAATGATGGGAAAGGAAGTTCTGGAAGTAGGGAGCTGAATATAATATATACATATACTGTATATATATATTCTCTCTCTCTCTCTCTCTCTCTATATATATATATATATATTAGGGCTGTCAAATGATTAATCACGATTAATCACATCCAAAATAAAAGTTTTTTTTACATAATATATGTGGGTGCACTGTGTATAATTATTTTGTATATATAAATACACACACATGCATGTATATTTAAGAAAAAAAATATTATTTATATATAAAATATTTATATATAATATAAATTATATATAAATCTATATACAGTATATACATGAAAATATTTCTTAAATATATACAAGCATGTGTGTGTATTTATATATATAAAATAATTATACACAGTGCACCCACATATATTATGTAAAAAAAAAACTTATTTTGGATGTGATTAATCACGATTAATCATTTGACAGCCCTAATATATATATATATATATATATATATATATATATATATATAGGGGTAATGTTCTGAATTGTTACGGAAATATTTGTTTCTTTTGATTTTAAGATTAAATGTGACCAGAATTAGACAGCGTGCCCACATTATAAGTGTAATAAAGAATAAAGAAGATGATAATAACAAAGAATAACAACAAAGTAGATAATAAGAGTGAATGTAAAAAAAAACGGAGCAATCAAGATTTCACATTTTGTTGAGAAAGACTAAATTGCATTTAAACAACATTTATATGTTTCCATTTTCTGTGTCCAGAGCATGTTTGAGGTGATTACATCAGAAATGTCATATTTGCGCTCTCTGCGTGTGTTAACGGAGCATTTTATGGAGTCAAGTGACTTGAATGAAACTCTCATTATCATGGACAAAAAAACCCTCTTCTCAAACATCCTGCGCATCCAAGAGGTCAGCGAGAGGTGAGTGCCTGTGTGTGTGAAATGAAGACATTTACAGTTTAGATTTGCTGAAACAGCACTGCCTGATCCCCACAAATTAGTTTTGTTTGTTTACATGAACCCCAAAGACTATATTTGCGAAATGCATTTGCCAGGTGTTGCCCATCAGAATTTGCTAAGGCAGCAGTGTTTGATATTAATTAAATTAATTCAAGTAGAAACGATTAAATATGAACTCTCAGGATAAATGCATCAATTAATAGTCTAATGCTCCTGTAATGCAGTGTAGCCTGTGAAACAAGATACTATACAGCAGTCACAAACATCCATTCGTAAATACCAATTGTCTTGACATTTTTTTCCGCAGGTTTCTGAAGGACCTGGAGGAACGTCTAGATGAGAGCATTAACATTTCTGACATCTGTGATATCATCCACTATCATTCCCAACATCATTTCCCTGCATATATTGACTATGTTCGAAATCAGATTTATCAGGAAAAGACCTACAGTAATCTAATGTAAGAAACTCGTACGTCAACACACATAAGCGAGGGCATTTCAAACTATTTCATTTGTTCTCATCCATTTAAATGTTTAAATCACTCACTTATTCTTTTGCCTAATATCTATCACAGGCAAACTAACACTCAGTTTGCGAGCGTTATCACACGACTGCAGGAGTCGCCCAAGTGTCAACGACTGCCCTTCATGTCCTTCCTGTTGCTGCCCTTCCAGCGAATCACACGCATTAAAATGCTCATCGAGGTGGGTGAATAATTCACATAGGCTCTGTTTACTTCTGGTATTAAGATGCAATTTGGTCAATCGGATCACAAGTGAACGACTGTAAATACAGGAGTAAACGGGGTTTAAAAGGTTTTGAGCTTGTCCACTCTCGACCACGTCCAGTGGTAGTCGAAGGCCCTATTTCCACCTGGTGTTAAGATACGTTTTGCTCTATAGGATCAGAAGTGGACGAGGGAGACACACTTACACCTGGCATTTTAATCCATCTCGTTTGTCCACTTTCGACCACTTCTATCCTGATTACTTCGAGGGGAGGGTCCATGGACTGGTCTCTTTGCTTCCGTCAAATTTAAATGCCGTTAAAATGTTTTCACCCGGATTCGTAGTGTCTAATCAATGCATTCGAACAGCCGCAAGAAGACCACCTACTGACCTAATGCGTAAACATTATGGAAAGCGCGCTAGCCAGACGGGATTTTAACTTTGTTGGCTGAAGACCCAAGTTTGGTTGGGACGAAAAACATACCAAGCACAATGTTCTCTCACCATTATCACCATCAAAATATTTCAAATCAGCTGTTTCAAATGAATGCTGTTTCTTTTGAAATTTCTATGCACCGAATAATCCAGAAAAAAAAATGTATTACAGTTTCCACAAAAATATTAAGCAGCACTACACATTTTCAACATACCGGTAGATTAGATAGTAATAATAAATGTTTCTTGAGCAGCAAATCAGCATATTGACTGAAGACTGGTGTAATGATGCTGAAAATTCAGCTTTGCCATCACAGGAATAATTTACATTTCAAATATATTAAAATAGAAAATAAATATTTTAAATTGCAATAATATTTCCAATTTTTTAACCATGTTTTTGATCAAATAGAGCATTAATGAGCATAAAAGACTTCTTTTAAAACATAAAAAAAATCTTACTGACCCCAAACTTCTAAAAGATAGTGTATATTGGAATTCTTCTTCACTAAACCAATTTCTGTTGGTTTTAGGGTGTGTTTTTTTGTTTTGTTTCTTTCTCCACGTAGGTAGGATCATTATAATCAAGCAGAGTTATCTTAAAGTGATCGAGGTAAAATGAACGCAATCTAGATTTTTAAAAATGGCTTTTTTTCATCAGAACATCCTGAAGAGAACGGCTGTTGGGGCGGATAAGGAACAAACTGCATCAAAAGCTCATGACTCTGTGTCTAAGGTAAACATCCCAAGATCACATTAAATGATGGACCCTGTTTTTTCCTCTCATTATAAAATCACTTTAGCACATTGTTCCATGATCAAACTAGACCTCATTGTTCCCAATATAGCCTATTAGAGAGGAAGATAAAAGGAAACGTGAGCGAGAAAGAGGGGGAGAGAGTGGAACACAAGGTTAAATGCGGGTCAGGTCACTAGAAATTATGGTTCAGATTATATAAGCCTGCCATATTTTTTATGAAGTCAAAGATAACTAACAAGGTGGATTTTATAGCATTTTATAGCATTAGAGAAATAAAGAACATTGAGTCTCTCGTTTATTTTCTTCCATTTTCATGAAAGAACCAAAATAGGTCATGTTTAATATGTCTGTAATGTTATTATGCATGCAGATTCATTCATCTGCATGGACAGAATGTTTTGTTATAGCTGCGTATTGTTTATGTTTTTAACATATTTTGAATGTTGTCAGATGTGATCTCAAATAACTTGTCACGCACATCCTCACAGATCATTGAAGAATGTAATACTCAAGTTGGAAAAATGAAGCAGATGGAGGAACTGATTCAGATTAATGGTATTCTGGAGTTTGACAAATTAAAGGTGAGCTATACTGATTAATGTTATATATTAATGATAACAATTGCAGTTATGAAATTATGAGACCACTAGTGAAAATGCCTTTATCATTTGTAAAGATGAGATTATCATTTGTAATAATCTCATTTTAACAAATTGAGTCAAAAGTTGAATTAACACGAATTTTAGAATTGCAAGGCCTGATGTAATCCAGCATGATTTGAGAATGTCACATGATCAGTGTCACACTAATTACTTTTCAATAGTGTCGTCAAATAGTGCCTTTTTTAATCAAGCCATTAATTTTTTTTAAATGTTTTAAAATCCTTTTTGCATAAAATATTTATTTAGAATATTTTCTATATAGAATATTTATTTGTCTATATATTTATTTGTTTAAATATTGCCTCATCTTTGAATCATTTATTCAGGCAGTGCCAATTATATCTCAAACACGTTACTTGGAGAAACGAGGAGAGGTGCAGGAAATAAACAGAGGAGGAACTTTCTTGAACCTCCGCACAAAATTCAGCCTGGTCTACCTCTTTCTCTTCAACGATCTGCTTGTCATTGCAAGCAAGAAAAGGTAGAAAGCTGAAAAACCTGTCTGTGTTATGGCTTTACTCTGTTTTTTTTGAGGATTACAAAACACTGCATGATAATTACATTCCATTTATTATCCTTTACAAAAAGTAACACACCTGTTTCCATTTACCGTGGATGTTTAATTAATCCCGTTGTTTCTGAATCAGACTTTACTCATTTATTTCTACCTCTCTTTCTCTGTGCTGCAGTTCTGAGCGGTATGTAGTGCTTGATCATGCGCATCGCTCCCTGGTCCAAGTGAAGCCTTTTGGGGAGGACACAGCTGTCCCCAGCCTGGAGCACTGCTTCTGTCTGACCCTGCTGGAGAATCACCAGGGACGCCTGATGGAGAGAGTTATGAAAGCTCCCACACAGTGCGTGGAATTATAAATCAACCATATGCTATTCATTTTACTCATCCGTGATTTATGTTCATTGCTCTGTTTTGTTTTGGATCCATATGCTCGTTTTTAAGAGAAGTCATTTTCTGGTGGTATTTTGCACAGTACACTACTGTTGGGGTAGTGAACACATGCTTACCAAGGCTACATTTATTTGATCAAAAAGACAGTAAAACAGTAATATAAAAATTATTTATTAAAAAATATTTGAATATGTTCAAATATCCCCATGACTCTAGTCTTCAGTGCCACATGATCCTTCAGAAATCATTTTAATATGCTGATTTGTTGCTCAAGCAACATTTTTTTTATTATTATAATCAATGTTAAAAACAGCTGTTTAAAAAATGTCAGGATTCTTTGATGGATAGAACATTTTCTATTAGAATAGAAATCGTTTGTAAAATTAAAAATGTCTTTACTGTCACTTTTGCTCAATTTAATGTTCTTGGTGAATTAAGGTATTCATTTCTTACAAAATAACAAACATCTAATAAGTCATTTTAAAAATAAATATGTGTATCAAGAAGGCATAAAGAACCATCCATTCAATATGACTTTTTTCCTTCTCTCTTTCTCTCACTATATAAACACCATATAAACAATAGTATTATCACCACACATTTTAATTATTAAATTAAGTTATAACAGTTATTCAATTATTCAATGTTTCAATTAGACCTATTGCCACAGGTGTATAAAATCAAGCACCTATCCATGCAGTCTGCATTTACAAACATTTGTGGAAAAAACGGTCAGTCTGAAGAGCTCAGTAAATCCAAGCATGGTACTGGTGATAGGATGCCACCTTTGCAATAAGTCAGAAATGTAATCCTTGCTAGATATTCAACAATCAACTGCTGATTCCATAGCTGAAGAGTTTGAAACTTCCACTGCCATTAATATCAGCGCAAAAATTGTGCGGCGGGAGCTTCATGGAATGGGTTTCCATGGCCGGGCCTCTCATTACCAAGTACAATGCCAAGCGTCAGATGCAGTGGTGTAAAGCACGGTGCCACTGGACTCTGGAGCAGTGGAAACCTGTTCTGTGGAGTGATTAATCACGCTTCTCTGTTGGGCGAGTCTGGGTTTGGCGGATGCCAGGAGAACCTTACTGACTGCATTGGGCCAACTTTAGAGTTTAGTGGAGGAGGGATAATGGTGTGGGGCTGTTTTTCAGGGTTTGGGCTAGTCTCCTTACTATTAGTGAAAGGAAATCTTAATGCTTCTGCTTACCAAGACTTTTTAGACAATGCTATGCTTCCAACTTTGTGGGAACAGTTTGGGGAAGTCCCTTTTCTATTCCAGCGTGACCGTGCCCTAGTGCACAAAGCAAGATCTGTAAAGACATGGTTGGATGAGTCTGGTGTGGAAGAAATTGACTGACCCACACAGAGCACTGACCTCAAGCCCATCGAACACATTTGGGATGAACTGGAACGGAGGTTGCGAGCCAGGCCTTCTCATTCAACATCAGTGCCTGAACTCACAAATGCTCTACTGGATAAACGGGAAAAAAATTCCCACAGAAACACTCTGAAATCTTATGGAAATCCTTCCCAGAAGATTGGAAACTTTTACAGCTGTAAAGGCTGTATGTCTTTGTATACAGAATGCGACGTCATTACAGTGTAATGGTCCGGTGCCCCAATATAGTTCATATAGTGGATATACAATATAGTAGCAATATTTCAGATTGTTTTCAGGGTTATATAAGGATGTATTCTGATTTTAAAGCTGTATAGGTCATTACTTTTTTCCCTTCAATCAGATCTGACCTGCACAGGTGGTTGGCAGCATTCCCGAATCCCGATGGCACCAGCAATGATCAAGAAGAAGTCATATATGAAGACTGGGGTAAGAGTGGGTGCTTATTTCAGCTCAGGATTATACTCATGTAAGCAACATGGCATGTTAGTGCTTGCCTTTGATTTTCCTGGAAATCATGTTCATTTCTCTCTTCAGATCAGTTTCTTTCTAATCACATGGCTGTTTTTGTGTGTCAGATTGCCCTCAGGTGCAGTGTTTGCAGCAGTATGTGGCAAACCAATCTGATGAATTAAATCTGGAGCCCACAGAGGTCATCAACGTTGTGCGCAAAACCAACGAAGGTGCGTCACACTCAGGGCCGATAGGGTAACAATAGGGTTAGGCAGTATATTATTATAGTACATTAATTATGCAGTATTTTCAAACATATCTATTATTTGTTTCTGTCCTTATTTATTCATTAATTTATTTATTTATTCCAATTTAAAGGCCCTTACCCCAGCAAAACATAAATGGGGAAACAAGTGGCTGAATGGGCTGAATTTTAGCCCCATTCCAGCCCTGATGATTCTCCTCTTCTAAGGACAGAAAGAAGACCTTGAAACTATTTAAAGTAAACACCTTAAAGCAAACATATGTCTAAAAGTTGTTTCTGTTTGAAACCAGTTTGCTTTGACCATATCTGGTGTTAAAGGGGATAGTTGTTTACCCAAAAATGAAAAATAACCCACAATTTACTCACCCTCATGTTATCCTAGGTGTATATGACATTATTCTTTCAGACGAATACAATCGGAGTTATATTAAAAAAATGTCCTGGCTCTTCCAAGCTTTATAATGGTAAATGGATAAATGGACTGCATTTATATAGCGCTTTCACAGACCCAATGGCCACCAAAGCGCTTTACATTTTTTGCCTCACATTCACCCATTCACTCACTCATTCATACACCGATGGTGGTGTCAGCCATGCAAGGCGGCATCCAGCTCGTCGGGAGCAGCTGGGGTTAGGTGTCTTGCTCATGGACACCTCGACACTTGGTCAAGTGGAACCGGGGATTGTAGACAACCTACATGAACCACTGAGCCACTGCCGCCCCAATGGCAGTGAATAATTAGTGAGTATAATGGCAGTGAATTGCTGTTTCTGTTTTGAAGTCCATAAAAGTGCATCTATCCATCATAAACAAACTCCACACGGCTCCGGGGGGTTAATAAAGGCCTTCTGAAGCGAAGCGATGACTTTATAAAGTTTTAAATATGGATATTTTTCTTACACAAAGTAAAACTAGCTTCCTGCCAAACGAACATACGGATTCCACTTAAGTCTAAGCGCAACTTATACGAGTAATGATGCACTACGCTACTTCCGACATCACAAGTTGGGTAAGTTGCGCTGTAGGCTTAAGTAGACTGCGTATGGCCGTTTGGCCAGAAGCTGGAAGTTTACTTTGTAATGTGTTAAATATGAATATTCTTCTCATTAATCGCCCCCAGCACCCCTTTTATGGACTTCAAAACAGAAACGTCCATTCACTGCCATTATAAAGCTTGGAAGAGCCAGGACATTTTTAATATAACTCAGTTGTGTTCATCTGAAAGAAGAATGTCATATACACCTAGGGTGACTTGAGGGTGAGTAAATCATGAGCTAAATTTCATTTTTGGGTGAACTATCCCTTTAATGCATTTATGCTCTTAATGTGTTGTAGCCTGGAATATTTTTTTATTTTATATTGAGATGCAATACATTGTATCTCTCTGTGTGTGTGTGTTAAAGATATGATTTTTAACAAAAAATACGAATTATTTCTGCGGTAGTGGCACCAAGATAGGCTACTATGAAGGGGGCCCTTGGGTTTGCTATAGCCCTGTGTTCTTAATGCGGGCCTGGTCACACTATACCTTCCATTCATTAGAAGCGCATCTGACATGTTTAAATGTGTTCCAACTTTGTTTTTTGTTCATTCATCTTATCTCTTCTTGCCTTCCATAGGATGGTATGAGGGGATCCGTTTATCCGATGGACAGAAAGGCTGGTTTCCTGTAGCAAACGTACTGGAAATCACCAATGAGCATGTTCGACGCCGCAACCTCCGAGAACGCTACCGTGTTATCCAGGCTGCTGGCGTTGTTGCCAAGACTCGGACTATTCCATAGCCTAAGAGAACTGCAGATTGTAAATAGTCTTTTAAACTATAGACTTTTGACTCTGTGCTCAAGTGTTTTGATCTCCCTCAAACAACCTTTTTATGATCAGAAATATTCTATTGGAATTTTAAACAAAGAACATGTCAAAATCAGTGCTGTATGGCTTGACTTTGTACAACACAAAAGCCACTTTGGCACTTGTTTAACTAAATCTCATTTACAGTATGTGTGTCTGTTTTGTTCAGTTGTTTTGGATCGTAACATGGAATGTACATGGAATGAGTTGCATAAATAAGTGTGCTTGTGTGTGTGAGTCTATGCGTGCTTGTAATATTTAGCACTTCTTTCAAGAATGTTGAACTACTGAAATTCCAATTGAGGAGAGCAGGTGGGTTGGTATCAAAAGACAAAATGTAACATGATCTGATTGGTAGGTCAGTACAAAATATCACATGCTTTGAACGATGAGTCCTGTATGGCTAGTCTTCAGTTTTAATGGAAACATTAATTGTGTACAATTCAGCTCGTCTACTATTAACAAAAATGCTGTGGTACATTAACATGAACAAAGTTTTTATTTAGTTTACTGTACAGTTGAACTTGTAGAGAAAAAAAGATCCAACTCAATTATAAAAAATGTATTTACATAGGCATTTTTTTGTGTGTCATTTACTCACCCCCTTGTCCTTTTCAAACCTGTGTTACTTTGTCTTTTGTGCAACACAAAAAATCTGTCATTCTAAATGGAAATAAGCATTCTGACCAAACATGAGTGAATGATGACAGAAATTTCATCTTTGGGTGAACAATCTTTTTAAGAGTGTCATTATCTGCTGCAGATATTTAAATTGTTGCAAGTCATGCTAATAATTGGCTGATATCTCGGAAAAATACATGTTCCGCTGTGTATACACACTTTCTCTGAATGGAATGCTCCATTAAAGCCACACCTCTTGTTTTGTGTGACTCTGCTTGTTTGACTTGGTGAGTTGGTGTAAATAAACAATAAACTTGTTTTTGATGTAAAAAGATATGTGATATAGTTTTTATTGCGAGTAGGCGAGTTTTGTCTATATGTAACCCTGCATAGCCCGGTATATGGAATAATATTTTATTATTATCATTATTTAACCATTAGACAAATTATATATATATATATATATATATATATATATATATATATATATATATATATATATATATATATATATATAAAAATCTAAAATAAATATATAATGCAATGCAATACAATGATGATAGAGAGATTTGCAAATAAATTTTCCTCAAAAGACTGTTGTATCATACATTTTAACATGAATTTTCTAAAAATGGACAATAAGTAAACTGAAGTTGCTTCAGTCCAGTAAATGATCATCTTGAAATATTAATGACAAAATACGTTATATTGTTAAAGATGTCACAGCAAATAGACTCGTGTACGGTACCACGACCTCTGAAGGTGGACATTTGTTTAGTACGATCTGTCAAATAAACAGAAGGCATGAGGAAGAATATGTCTGATCTTGTTGATAATTTAGAGGCCCTAGAAATTCCATAGACAGTTAAAGAGAAATTCATGGTTAGGATCAATATTCCTCTGGCGCCATCTAATGGACAATGTGCATTGATAATTGCAATAAAAGTGCTATAATTAGAGTATTTTGATGCAACACACATTTGTATTACACACATTTCTCTCTTAGATTAATCCTGTAAGAAGATGCACAGTTTGGAAAGACCAATGCCAGAGCAAACATGCTCTGTTAGTGTTCATACAAAATATACTTATAACAAATAAAATGTGGTTATTATGATCACCAATTTAATAAAAAATAGTTTGACACTTGTTTATATAAAGTTTGTTGTAATTAAATGCTATTCTAATTACAATATATTATGAAAAAATGTTCGTGCTTTTATTTTGGTGGGTTTTCGCTTCCGGTTTGACGTTCGTGTCATTGCTGAGAGCGGTCGCTGGGGGCAGCGTCTAGTTGTGTTACTCTTGCGGTATTTCTCTTGATCACCTGATAAACGCAAAAATGGCTGGCCGGGTGAGTATTTCTTTATGATTTAAGTTGATTTGGAGTCGCACATAAATAACCCATAATTTCGTGAGCATTCTCAGCAGACACAAAGCTGAGCTCCATTCATACGTGTTGCGTTTGCACACGTCATTCGCACTCATGCAGTACCGGAAGACGAGTTCCACATCTCATGACTTTTCTGTGTGAAACAAAACTTCATGTAGTGTTTCCAACACGACATTTACGAGGCTTTTAAAGTTTCTCACGACATCTGTGCTTTCTTTAAACCAGTTTGAAGAGTGACTATGGCGAAGTGCGTGTTGATATAACTGTGGCTGCTGTCATTACAGATGATTGAAACAAAGAGTGAATGAGAGTTAATATTATGATATATAATGCTGTTTTTGACAGACAGCAAGGATATTGATTCATGAATATTCAACTACCTAATTCAATAAAATATATGGAATAAAAAAAAAACATTATATAGGCTTTAGTTTTACACATTTTGTGTAAATGTATTGCCTTGAACGTACAGAGGTCTGCAGTGTTATTATAGTTTTCGTTAATTGAAATGAAATATAAAAGTAAAATATAAATGTTAGATGAAAAACTGAAATGTTGCCTTAACCAACTGAAATAAAATAATTACTAAAATGACAAAAACTGAAAATGAAATAAACCACAATAGAAAAATAAATATAATTGAATAAATATATATTTTTTAAATAAAAAATGAATACAAAACACATAACAAAAATGTAAACTACTAAACTGTAAACTAAAAATAAAAGCTTAAATTCAAATTATTTAATACAATTTTCAAATATCACTAAAATGGTGCTAGATCAAATGTAATTTTTATTTATAAATTTGTTATAACATATAGTGTTTGCTATAATATGTGTTTATATTAATATAATTTTGGACATAATATTTTTTTTATTCCACTTGAAGGACTTTTGTTATGCTGATATATATATATATATATATATATATATATATATTACATTTACATTTATGCATTTAGCGTTAAGCGATTTACATTGCATTTCTAATTTCAATCTAAATATAATCTAATTTTTTCAAACTATAATATAAATATATATATATATATATATATATATATATATATATATATATATATATATATATATATAAATATATTTACATGTACATTTATGCATTTAGCGTTAAGCGACTTACATTGCATATATATATTATAGTTTGAAAAAATTTGATTTGAATATTAAAACATACAAATTAGAATATTCTCAAATCCACATTTTATTTACTGTTTCAAATTAAAATAAAAACCCCAGCTTTTCAATGTGGTCTCAGACCTTTGGACTCCACTGAATGTGTTGCTTGTGTCAGTGCTAATGTACCATAGAAATAGTAAAAACAGGTCCAAACACTGAGTCACAGTGCATTATGCGTTACCCAGGGTTATGCTTACAGGCTGTATATTTGAGCAGATTATGTGGGATTCAGAAGGTCTGGAATACATCTCATGCTATTGGTAATACCACACTAGGGTTTAATGAAGCCCTTGAGTAATCCTATAAGATCACACAGCATTACTGTATGTTATTTCTTTAAAGCAAGCTACAGCTGGTTAAAGATGGAGATTCATATGTGTTATAATAATTGAATATCAGGGTGCAGAAAAGGTAATGGGGGGAGTAACTCCTTATTCAGTGAGTGTCTGTCATGATGTAAATGAGGATTTTAGCAGACAACTGGTAAGTGTCGACATCTAGGCTGTATATTTAGCCTACATTGAAAAGGATAAGGGACACTCTTTGCTTTGGCTAATTTAATGGTCTGTAACAGTTTACAAGTAGTAATGCTTGGTTTTCTTTTCAGTTAGCTTTCATCAAATTCCATTTTGCTTCTTTTTTTGGACCAGGATTAGTACTAGTAATTATTCTATTACTAGTATTTAGCATTGGGCCTATACTTTAGTCACACAGCAATTGTCTGACAGTGCAGATCTGGAGAATGTTGAAGGTTATTTCTTGCTCACCTCAAGGATATCAGTGAGCTTTTTCACTAAAGCTGGTACTGGAAGTAAAAAGTTTCTTTGTCTTTTTATCAAAAGTTCTTTCTTACATTCTTGAAATTAGTTTTAAAGAAAAAAGAATATACTTCTTTGAGTGTGTGTGTGTATATATATATATATATATATATATATTATACATACAGTTTGGGATCAGTAACATTGATTTTTTTGTCTTATGCTGACCATGCATTTATTTGATCAAAAATACAGTAAAAACATTAAAGGAGTAGTTCACTTTTAAAAAAACTTTTGCTGATAATTTACTCACCCCCATGTCATCCAAGATGTCCATGTCTTTCTTTCTTCAGTCGAAAAGAAATTAAGATTTTTGATGAAAACATTCCAGGATTTTTCTCCATATAATGCACTTTACTGGGCACCAAACTGTCCAAGGTCCAAAAGACAGTTTCAGTGCAAACTGCAAACTGTTCAAAGGGCTTTAAACGATTCCAGACGATGAATAAGGGTCGTATCAAGCGAAACGATCGCTCATTTAAAAAATAAATAACAAAGTTTAAGTTTTATAAGCTCAAATGCCCGCCTTGCTCTGTTCTGTGTGACTCTCCTGTTCGAACTCGTTCATCAAAATGAACGAATCTTTTTTCGAGTCATTTGATTCATTTAACGAACGAAATGAACGAATTGACTCGGAAAAAGATTCGTTCATTTTGATGAACGAGTTCGAACAGGAGAGTCACACAGAACAGAGCAAGGCGAGCATTTGAGCTTATAAAACTTAAACTTTGTTATTTATTTTTTAAATGAGCGATCGTTTCGCTTGATAAGACCCTTATTCATCGTCTGGAATCGTTTAAAGCCCTTTGAACAGTTTGCAGTTTGCACTGAAACTGTCTTTTGGACCTTGGACAGTTTGGTGCCCAGCAAAGTGCATTATATGGAGAAAAATCCTGGAATGTTTTCATCAAAAACCTTAATTTCTTTTCGACTGAAGAAAGAAAGACATGGACATCTTGGATGACATGGGGGTGAGTAAATTATCAGCAAAGGTTTTTTTAAAAGTGAACTACTCCTTTAATAGTGTGAAATATTATTACAATTTAAATTTTATATATATTTTAAAAGAACTGCATTTATCTGAAATAGAAAGCTTTTGTAACGTTATACATGTCTTTACTGTCAGTTTTAATCAATTTAATGCATCCTTGCTGAATAAAAGTATTACGTTTGAATGGGAGTGTATAATGTTACACAATCTTTCTATATCAGATAGGCTAAATGCTGTTCTTTCGAATTTTCAACGAATCCTGAAAAAATTTACTCTAATCACATATTTCTTGGGCAGCAAATTAGCATATTAGAATTATTTCTGAAGGATCATGTCACATGTGACACTAAAGACTGGAGTAATGATGCTGAAAATTCAACTTTGCCATCACATGAATAAATTAATTACATTTAAAAATGTATTCAAATACATTTTACTGTATTTTGGATTAAATAAATGCAGCCTTGGTGAGCAGAAGAGACTTCTTTTAAAAACATTTTAAAAAATCTTACAGTTGGTGATTTTTTTTTTTTTTTTTTTTTTACTTAAATATTGCGAAAATACAATAAGTTAACTTCAACCAAATCAAAGGTTCAGCTAAAACATTTGGTGTGTCTGCCTCTTACATTAAAATTTGCAAGCACATTATTAAATTTAAATTGTAATGCACAAGTATTTAAGTATGTCAATACATTAACATGATACTTAAAGCATTGTTTTTTAGTCCAGTATTGAAATGCAACACAATATAACAGGTCCATCTCTGCATAGGCCTGAAAAATGTTAAAGACCCCTGATCTAGGCAAAGGTGGTTTCTGGATAGAATTATTAGTAATTATTATGAACGATCAGGAAGTATGCTTGAGTTTCTCACTGGTTGTGTATATGGAGACTGTCTGTATATGGTCAACCTCTGTGATTTGCAATCACACTCCTGTTTTTTTGTTTTTTCCTCTTTCCTGTACAGCTAATGCAAGCAGCGAGATGCCCGACAGATGAACTGTCTCTCACCAACTGTGTGGTTGCAAGTGAGAAGGACTTCAAATCTGGGCAGTGAGTATTTAATGTGTAATGAATCAGAAATGGGAGATGTGATCATAATATATTTAAACATACTATCAGAACGTGTGTGTCAGATCAGCTGTTCTAAATCTTTCTAGGCATTTGACCGTTAAAACCACACCCACTCAGAAATTTGTGTTCACGGTTCGAACTCACCCGAGCGTGGTCCCGGGAACCATTGCCTTCAGTCTACCCCAGGTACAAATTTGTGTCATCATTCCCCATAGGCTTCTCTAAGGTCCCATATGTCTTTATGTGTCTTCTTTACTGCTCTTGTAGACATGTAGAACAAAAGCTGATATGCGTTATGCACCTTTGTGAAATGCATTAGTATGCAGATGTACAGTAGTGTACTGTTATTGTCAGCATGCTTATTTCTTAATATCTTGCATTATTTTTGCCTGCTTCTCCTTCGTCTGTTAACTTGACAGCGGCAGGACTTCTCAGGTACTACAGTATCTTTCTCACAGTGGTCTTATTTTATGTCAGGATGTGATATTTAATGAACAAGAGACCAAGAAAAGAAACACAACTAGAGAAACTTTATTCTACTTAAACTACATGTTAAATAAAAAATGTGCTATACAGTAGGACCGTCTTTCAAGAGAAAGTTGTACAAATGCATTTGTGTAGCTTTTTAGTAGGAAATTCTTTATAATACCAATAATAATTGTATGGCCTGTAATCTGCTGAAAAAACTCTGATGAATTATACATGTAGGCTAAATGCAACAAAATAGAAACTCAATATGCTCTCTGTGTCATAGAGAAAATGGGCTGGACTCTCTCTAAACCAGGACGTGGAAGGTACGTGTACAGTTTCATATTACTAATCTTCTGACCAAAAAACCCCAAAAAACTTTACAAACAACACTGAATTTGATTCTCCTCACTAATAGTGCAACAATTCAGTTATAACCCATTATAAGGATTTATATATTTTTGTAAATAATTGTTAAAAGGCATTAAAATATTTGCAGATTCCTTGTTAGATCTGAAATTGGTTTGTTTGCCATGTTTTTTAATACATTATACTTTTTAAAGGTGTAACAATGAATATATATATATATATTTTATCTATCAATATAATGTATTATAAATGTGGTTTCAATTATTCATGAGATCATACAATGCATTATAAGGTACATTACAAGGCATAATGAATGCATTAAAAATACTTATATAATGCATTATATATATATATATATAAAGGGTTTAGGTAAAGTGTTACCAATAGATAGTGAAGAATAATTACTTATTTTAAGAAATATTTAGACCAGGTAATCAAGAATTTAATTTAAAAAAATCTTGTTTTCTTGTTGAAAAGAAGTGTCATTGTCAAGTTGTTTTGCTTAATTTGGAGACTCAGTCTAAATGAATATGTTAATCACTCTTAGAAATATGCAAATGTAGGCTAAGTAAGTTTCTCAAAAAATGTCTGTACAGTACAATACTGTTCAGAAGTAAGATTTTATGTTTTTGAAAGATATCTAAAAAAAACTCTCTAAAACAGTAATATTGTGAAATATTATTACAATTTAAAATGACAGTGTTCTATTTTAATACATTTTAAAATATAATTTATTCCTGTGATGGCAAAACATAATTTTCTGCAGCCATTACACCAGTCTTCAGTTTCACATAATTGACCAACTCAACTGGCATACACACACACACATATATACTATATTTACACACACATATATATATATATATATATATACACACACACACATATATATATATATATATATATATATATATATATAGTATATACTGTATATACAAAAAAATATACACAATTATGTAAACAAAAATGTTTATGTTAGATGTGATTAATCGTGATTAATCGATTTGACAGCACTTGTTTATATGAGTTAAAGTTTAATCGCAATGTTGCCATTATAATTGCATGTAAACATAGTCAAAAACTGTGACTTCTCTCTGTTGCAGCGAGTATCTACAACTTTGATTCGTCAAGACAGTATGTGGGAACCATGACGCTAGAGATTGACTTCCTCCAGAAGAAGACCGTTGACAGCAACCCTTACGACACAGATAAAATGGCCATTGAATTTATCCAGTTTTTCAACGCACAGGCCTTTAGCATCGGCCAGCAGGTGAGACAATTAAAGAGCTAATGAAATGAACGTCAGACCCACTCTCAATGAGGTCTGAGGACTTTTGTGTAGTGTGGATGTACTGGCACATAAAGCCTGTATCGTCTTCCTGGCAGTTTGCCTTCAGCTTTTGTGACAGGCTCTTCGGACTGGTCATAAAAGATATCGAGGCAATGGATCCCAGCATCCTCAGGGGCGAGCAAAGCTCTAGCAAAAAACAGAAGGTACCTTTTTACTGCTTGCTTTCATATCATATCTAATCATGTGTTAAGAGAGTTATGGCGCATTAAATATTGTTTATCTCCACGTTTCTTTTTCAGATTGAGATTGGTCTGTTGCACGGCAACAGTCAGGTGATTTTTGAGAAAGCCGAGAGCTCATCTCTCAATTTGATTGGTTAGTGTTTAACCTGCAAACACACACCACCATTGTGGCTCTACATACACAAGCAGACAGCACTCCAGATTTACTCTGTACATATTTTTTATCTCACGTGTTGAGCTAGATTGAATTATAGGCAAGAGAAAAAAGAGAAATTGAACCTAAACATTACTGAACAGATTAATACAAAACTTTTATTTCAGTTCTGTGGCCTGTGTTGTCCAATGACTCAATAAACAGTAAAATGTTCACATTTCAAATAATGTAACAGCTAAACCGTACCACTAGATGGCAGTCAGAACACATGTGGTTTCACCTCAGCTTCCTCACTTTGTCATCTCTGCTCAAATGTTTTATACATCTGTTCATTTTACATGGGGTATGACCTTGATAGGTTAAATATAAAAAATGATGTTTTCCTTAGTTTCTTTAGTGTTCCTCAGCAGCCTGATTTTGATAATCCTTCCCCAGGAAAATCAAAGGCCAGAGGGTCTCGGCAGTCCATCATCAACCCTGACTGGAACTTTGAGCGCATGGGGATCGGAGGCCTGGACAGGGAGTTCTCGGACATCTTCCGTCGGGCCTTCGCCTCGCGAGTCTTTCCTCCAGACATAGTGGAGCAGATGGGTAAGTCTCAGATTTTCTCTCCCTTTTGTTTTGAAACTAAAAACTGTGAAGCTACACTAGTGCATGACGCCCCTGTCTTTGTCTTGGAAGGATATATATCTTTTTTCCCCTTCTTCAACCACATCACTCTCTGTTTAAGTGGCCAGTAGAGGCACAGCATGTTTTAGGCGACATGAATCGCGGAATGTTGCGACTCCAGTTCGAGAGAGAGAGGACCAAGCCAAACTAAATAAGAGAGTGGCTAAAAGATTGGACCGACTGCTCTCAGACCCTCCCAGCACCTCATCCTAACCATAAATGAGAGAATTGCTCAGTTACATTCAACCCTGAAAGAACATTGTTATGTTGTCTTCTCTTTTTCTGTTGGCTAGCAGTCAAAAGCCTAGTTTGAATTATATTGTCAGACTGCAATCTGATTGTATTTTAATGATTTATATTCACCCTCTAAACAGATCAACAATTGTTAAAGATGCTATCCAGCAGACAAATTCCCATCAGATTGACTCCTGCAGCGAAAGTATTATAATCATTTGCAGTTGAAGCTGCTGTCTGCGTTCCGTTCTCAGCTTTTAGACACTGGGACTCTTTTGCTAAGTGTTCTTACTGGTGTGCGAAGAAATGTTCTCAGACAGAATTTCAGATTGATTTTCAACAGGTGCTCATGTTTGATGAATCCTGAATAAGAAAGTACTAAAAAAAATTAGCTTAACATCGTGTCCTAACCAGACTTGATGCGATAAGATTCCAGTGCCAAGCAATTTGTCTGTCCACAGCAGACGCGACGTGACTACGAGCCGCAACAAAATCAATCCAAAATCACAGCTAATCAAAAGAGTGTGTGTGTGTTTGGAGTCTCTGCAAGCGCACTGTATTCACAACAAAATGGATATAAGTAAATAATCAAATTCATAAATATTACACCATTTTAACATTATTAAAAACATACTGAGTGACTGAAACGAACTTTGTCATAGAACGCAGTTGTTTGTCCACACTGACTTCACAGTTTGAACATTCTTGTTTTTTTTCCTTTCATTTATTTTCAAGATCTGAGGTGAATTATCCATCAGTATGGCCATAAAGGTCACGCAAATGATATTTAAACTCACATTCAATTCTTTTAACATTAAATAAAACACATAATCAGTATTTGAGATTATCATTGTCATACTTTGTATGTCCATGTTTTCCAAGGCCACCTGGAGTCTGTGTTTTTTTGCGTACATGTGGTGTCACTTAGTTTATCCGTAAATGTTAACACGGTTTTGTTAATACTTTATTCTATTCTTCACTTGCCAAACTGCGAAAATGAACAGTTATGAAGAGCATATTCCTGTAAGCTGTCAGATGACTTGATCATGTATGCAGACACAGAGTTCAGTGTGTGTGTGCGAGAGAGAGCGAGAGATGACCTTTGTGGTGTGATGGCTGCAGGAGTTGGCCTCTGGCTCGGGCAGCTGGCTGCTCTAATGAGATGGCGGGTCTTGATAGCGCAAAGGTGAGCACTTAATTGGGCTTCGTTTTGGAGCCCAGGTGCTGAAGGAAAGTGCGGGTGTGTGTCTGAGTATGTTATTGTCTTATAGCGCTTGGGTGGGAGTTTACACCAGTACACCCAGTTTCTCCCAAAACTCCCACCACTTAAAGGTCATTTCAATCTGCCCAGCCGTGGCCTCGTTCTTCTCCTCTGTGGAAAGTCTGGACGTCTGCCCTCCCTCAACCTGAGTCTGTCAACAGGTGTAAATGGCCATACTGATTCCCATCTCAGGCCTGCTGGTTATCTCCAGAATTCCCGCTCTTTTCAAATGGCAGCCAACAGATGTTGTTAACCAAAAACAGGGCTCTTGTCTCAGAAATGCCATTGCTCATCAAAAAGACCCTTGTGCTACTCTGAAAACCGTTGTATTGGACACTTGGCCATACTTCTTGTGTGTGCTTTATGGCATAATCTCATAACCATATAATATAGACTGGTTCTAGCTGATAGAGAGGTGACAATAACTCGAATAACCATTCTTTACAACTAAGGTATGCAGAAGAGCATCTCTGAACGCACAATGCGTTGAACATTGAAGCAGATGGGCTACAGCAGCAGAAGATCACACTGGATCACAAGATCACGCTCCTGTCAGCTAAGAACAGAAAACTTAGGTTACAATTGTTGCCTGGTCTTATGAGGCTGGATTTCTGCTGTAGAAGATGGCAGGGTCAGAATCTTGCTGACAATGTCCATTCCTTTGATGGTTACTTCCAGCATAGTAACGCACCATGTCTCAAAGCTCAAATCATCTCAAACTGGTTTCCGAAACATGAAAATGATTTGACTGTATTAAAATGGCTTCCACAGTCACCAGATCTCAATCCAGTAGAGCACCTTTAGGAAGTGTTGGAACAGGAGATTCACATCTTGGATAAGCAGCCAACAAATCTTTAGCAACTAAGTGAAGCTATCATGTCGATATGGACCAAAATCTCTGAGGAATGTTTCCAGCACCTTGTTGAATCATTGCCACGAAGAATTAGGAAGTCCTGAAGACAAAAGGTGGCCCAACCCGGGACTAGCAAGGTGTATATCATAAAGTGACCATATTGACAAAACTGGCACTGAGGTTTCAGCTTGCACAGTAAGGCGCATACTAAACGCATGCCAGAACTCCAAGAGCACACCACTACTGACCCAAAAGCACAAGAAAAGTCGGCTCCAATTTGCTTAAAATCATATAAATTAGTCACAGTAGTCTTGGGACTCTGGGATTTTGAGGGATCAGCGGTATGTCTGGAGGAAGAAGAATGAAGGATATGCTGAAAAGAACAATCTGCCTATAGTCAAGCATGGTGGGGCTCAGTAATGCTCTGGGGCTGCTTTGCATCCTCTGGCACTGGAAACCTGTAGCGTGTGGAAGGCAAGATGGATTCTTTGAAGTATATCAGGAAATTCTAGGAGAAAACGTCATGTGAGGAAGCTGAAACCTGGGCGTCATTGGACCTTCCAACAGGACAATGATCCCAAGCATACCTCAAATTCCACCAAGGCTTGGTTGCAGAAGAAGTCCTGGAAGATTCTACAGTGGCCATCACAGTCACCTGACTTGAACCCCATAGAAAATCTCTGGTGGGATTTGAAGGCGGCGGTTCCAGCACACAAACCCAAGAATATTACTGAACTGGAGGCCATTGCTCATGAGGAATGGGTTAAGATTCCTCAGAAACATTTCCAGAAGCTGGTGTCTGGTTAAACATCTTCTTTTCAGCAGGTCATAACTTCAAAAGGGTGTTCTACTAAGCACTAAAGATGCTTGCCATGAAGGGGTTGAATAATTTTGAGACTGCAGAAGTCATTAAAAGCTGCGCTTTCAGTTGAATTGTGGGAAACCACTTGAAACATTTGTTGTGTTGAGCTTTATATATATTGACTTTACATCCCACGACCCCTTTCTCTTTCCACAGGCTGCAAGCACGTGAAGGGAATCTTGTTGTTTGGGCCGCCCGGCTGTGGTAAAACCCTGATGGCACGTCAGATTGGAAAGATGCTGAATGCTAGAGAGCCGAAGGTGGTCAACGGGCCAGAGATTCTGAACAAATATGTGGGCGAGTCAGAGGCCAACATCAGAAAACTGTTTGCTGATGCCGAGGAGGAACAGAAGAGAGTAAGAAACCAGGAAGAGATGGAGACAAAATACAATACAATACAACACAGAGTTTATTTATATAGCACATTTAAAAACAACCGATGTTGACCAAAATGCTGCACAGAGTATAAAAAGAACACAGCAATATCACACACAAACAGTAAACGGTAATCATCAGCGGTAAAAAAAAAAAAAAAAGGCTACTGTTCTAGATAAAAACTCATAAAACAGAGAATCAGGGAATATTAAATGCCAGTGAGAATAAATATGTTTTAAGAGTAGTTTACAGTTCTAATGTAAGCCGGGAGACTATTCCATAACTCGTGGGAACATAAAGTAATTCGGAATCACCAGATCGAAGTGATCTCGACTGTGTGTACGGGTGCAGTCAAATAGTTACTCTGGTTCTAAATATATTTAAATACAAATAATAAAACTTTAAAATAAATTCTATATTTAACAGGTAGCCAATGAAGTGAAATCAAGATTAATGTGTTCGCATTTAATGCTCCCCTTAAGAAGCCATTTCACCATGTTTTGAGCTAACTGTAAACGTAAGATGGATGACTGGGGGACACCGATGGTAAAGTGAGTTGCAATAATCCAACCGAGATGTTACAAACACATGCATAACTATTTTAAACTTCTTTAAAGACAAGAATGGCTTGACTTTAGTTAAAAGACGAAGATGATAAAAACAAGATTTGACCATAGCACTTATCTGCTTATCAAACTTAAGGCTGTTGTTAAACAATACACCCAGATTCCTAACACATGTGGTACTGTATGATGACAGGGAATCAAGATCAAAGTCATGTACTCTGTGTTCATTCTAGCCAAACAGGATAATTTCAGTCTTACTCTCATTAAGACTTAAATTACTCATAAGCCAAAATTGTAATTCACCCAGTCTAAAATAGGCTTTAGGGCATGCTTATTCTCACACTTTAAAGTCAGATAAATTTGGGTGTCGTCAGCATAAAGATGAAAGAACACTTCATACCTGTTTAAAATAGATCCTAGTGGAACCATATAAAGAGAAAATAATACAGGGCCGAGAATTGAGCCCTGAGGAACACCAGATTTTAAATGAATTTCAGAGGAGTCCAATGTCCACGGCGGACAGCATATCTCCTATTAGTTAAATCTGAGCGGAACCATAGATTGCCCCGAGTCAGTAGCTAGCATGATGTCATTCAAAACTCTTAGGAGAGCCGATTCAGTACTATGTAAAGCTTTAAAACCGTATATTTACATTTTTCATGAATAGAATTTTAAGTTAAAAAAAAGATTAAAACCACTGCATGGCATTTCATGCTAATTATTAAGCACACTTAGAAAAAACCTTTGTTCTTTCACGCACTTCACAAATCACTGTTCGCTTAGAAAGGCCATACAGACAGTTTTGCACAATCTTACATTCATCTGGCTCTGTGATGGAACCCACTGATATTTGACACTTTAAAGAAAGGGTGCTCTGTCAACAGTCTAAAAAATCATGGCATGCAAACTTGGGTTTGCTCAATGGATGCTGTTCCCAGTTTTGGGCCATCCAGCAGCTCTACAAATATCTCCAAATTGCTGAAATAAACTTACTGAATTACTGTAAATGGTCTTGTGTTTGCTTAGAAACATTATCATAGTTTTTTTTTTCCAAGGGTGATGTGTCATGAAGTGTTGGCAGAGAACTGCTGGTTCTGGCCGTTGTTGAGTGTGATGTTGTGCTGGTAGACTGTGTGACTACATGACATCGAAGAGCTCACTCGTCACCTCTTAATGAGAGCATTCGGCTATCTCTAACCCCTCACCCTGACTCACGGGAGGCCACGCACACTCATACTGGCCTCCCATCTGTGCTAAATGTTACGGCCTAGCCACTGACAGCCTCTGAGATGAAGGAGATAAATCTTAATTGTAGACCATTGTCACAGAGTTTATACAGTCACAGGCCATTCACCAGCTTGGCATTTAATCAGAGAGCTTAAGAGAACTGTATACAGTATTTTTTAAGACCACATAAAAACAAAATTATTATGAGGTTTAATGAAAGTATTATGGAATTATGAGGCTATTCAAACATTTCTTATATTATTATTGCATTATATTATATTTCTGTCTCTTTTTTTGCTTGGCTTTTGAAGTTGGGGGCCAACAGTGGCCTGCACATCATCATATTTGATGAAATTGATGCCATCTGTAAACAACGTGGCAGCATGGCAGGCAGCACTGGGGTCCATGACACTGTAGTCAACCAGCTACTGTCCAAGATCGATGGTGTAGAGCAGCTCAACAACCTCTTGGTTATTGGTGAGAACTTCCTTTGAGATCGACCAGCATAAAGAATGACCATGCATAATTTTTTTGTTACATATTTAATATGTTTGTTGATTTGGCTTTGTGTTCACCATTAAATCATACTTTATTTAAGGGATGACCAACAGGCCTGACCTGATTGATGAAGCCCTCCTGAGGCCGGGAAGACTGGAGGTCAAAATGGAGATAGGTGAGAACTACAGTAGCCATCATGGATCACATATTCAAGGTTGCCTGAACAACTAGTTGACTTATAGTCCTTCTCCAGGCCTGCCTGACGAGACCGGCCGTGTTCAGATCCTGCATATCCATACAGCAAAGATGAGGCAGTCAAACATGCTGGCCAAAGACGTTGACGTAAAAGAGCTGGCTTTCGAGACCAAGAACTACAGCGGAGCAGAGCTGGAAGGGCTTGTTCGGGCTGCCCAGTCGACTGCCATGAACCGTCACATCAAGGTCTGATCTCATCATCTCATTGACCCCTACAACTAGTTATGGCTGATTTAAACTAAATCAATTCTTAAAGTCGACATGAAACGGAAGTAGTCTTTTCTTCACTACTGTGACTTATATCCGAGTGAAGCGGCTTTTCGAACAAGATTACAATTTTAGAAGTAGTTGAGAAGACTATGGATATCTTTATATAGCTAGACAAAGTGTGTGTGTGTGTGTGTTAGCAGCACAGCTAACATTCCCATATTTGATGGTGTTGACAAAATTCTCCCACAGTTGATAAGGCTTACACAGGTGTAATAGGTCTCTCTTTCTCTTGCTTCAAGACCTTTCATTTTGTGTGTTTTTGCTCTTGTAGGCCACTACTCAGGTGGAGGTGGACACAGAAAAGGCTCTCACTCTGCAGGTCAGCAGGACTGACTTCTGGGCTTCTCTGAATAATGACATCAAGCCTGTAAGTCCACTCCACATTATTGTGTATTCAGTTTGTATAATGATATGCTGACTCGAATTCCCCTGATTAGATCTTGTGTTCCTAAACTTCACTATCGGCATGAAGTCTGGTCCACGTTGCAAGTTATTTTGGCCAAAAGCCACCCACTTAGAAAGGAGGTGGCTGTCATTTGCATAGGACATGTAAAGCGATGTTAAATGAATTATTCTGTACATTCTGCACTGTTTAAATGGGCCACCTGAGACTGAGTCTTAAATGTTGTTTATACAGAATTAGATCATTTTAGCAGTTAATAAAGTAATTTATCATTGCTTAAATATTTAATGCATTTCTCTCTTCTTCTTTTTTTCTGTAAAGGCATTTGGCTCTAATCAGGAGGATTACGCCAGTTACGTCATGAATGGTATTGTGAAATGGAGCAATGATGTGTCTGATATTTTGGGAGATGGAGAGCTACTGGTGCAACAGACCAAGAACAGTGAACGCACACCGCTAGTAACTGTGCTCTTAGAGGGCAAGTCTTACACACAAACCTCACATGCACATACATAGACATACACAAATACAATGTTAGGGGTCAACTCATTAAAATAGTGACTTTACTAACTGAACTCATTTAATTTAGTAGCGTGACAGAATGTTGCATTTACTTTTTTTATTGAGTGAAAAAGTCAATTCTTCCTTAAAAATGTTTTCTTGTAGAAGTACACAAAATATTATTTTTTGTAAAAACAATTATGGCTGTCAGTCAATTTAAATATTCAATCAGAATGAATATCATAATGTTTTGTAGTTCATAACATTGAGTGCCGTGACACCTTTTTTCTGAGATGACTTTGTTTTTGGAGGAGAGTAGGGCTGCATGATTTAAATTATATATTTTTTTAACAGTTCCAGGTTTGCTGTGCTTTTTTAGGGCTGCACAATGTGGCCAAAAATGTGTGATATTTCAATGTAATTATAAACTAATAATAATAATTTTATTTATTATTATTAATAAATGAAACATATTAAATTAAGAAATATTACTATTGTATTTATACTATTTCACTGTAAAATAAACAATTAAATATAAAAAAATAACATCATGATTTAATTTGACTGAACAACTGTAAAATTACGATACTAATATTTATGTTTTAATTTCTTAATTTTAATGTTAAACACTTCTCATTGCAAATCTGGTGAGATGAGTGCTGTACGATGTGTTCCTAAATGCACTTTATAGCAACCCAAACTCAGAGCACATGCAAAGATGAGGTTTGTGTTAAGCAGCATTTACTGTGAACCTGAAAACCCCAGATCATTAGGCATGAGCTGTCTTTGTGATTGGAAAATCACACTAATCCATATCGCAATTTTGATTTAATTTTGATTAATCGTTCAGCCCTAAGAGAGGGTGTGTAGATGATGGCAGAATTAAAACCATTTTAATGTCAATGTCATCTAATAGGTATATTTAAAATGAACCCCATAGCTTAAATGTAATTAGCTACTTTTTATTAGTAGCTTTTAGTGTAGCTACCTGTTCAACAGGGTATCTGACTGCAGATGACCTTACATTATAAGAAACGTATAAGTTGACAACTTACAGTTGCACACATACACTGCACACATGTACAAAAACGCTGAGAGGATAGCATTCCTCCCTGCTCTTGTTCTCTGGTTCACACAAGCAAACATCCACCATAATGCTGCAATCTGATATGACTGAGAGTGTGAATGCTCTCCGCTCCCGCAGGGCCTCCTCACAGTGGTAAGACCGCACTGGCGGCCAAGATCGCAGAGGACTCCCAGTTCCCCTTCATCAAGATCTGCTCTCCAGACAAAATGATCGGCTTTTCAGAGATCGCCAAATGTCAGGCCATCAAGAAGGTAACAACCTCGTCGCTCTAGGTTAAGACGGAAAGAGATCTGTGCGCGTTGAAAGCACTTGTCATTGGGGATGTTAAATGGATGTGACTTTGCAGCCATTGTCCTTTAATAGTGGGTTTATGGTTTTCATCTCTCTAGATATTCGAGGACGCCTACAAGTCCCAGCTGAGCTGTGTGGTGGTGGACGATATAGAACGACTCCTGGGTGAGTCCATCACACCGTGGATGATTCATTTCCTGTCAAAACTGATAAGTTGAAATGATCACAATGTAATGGTTGGTCTACATACCAAACTTACCCAATACTATCTTCTCATCATGTTTATACACTCCACAGATTTTGTTCCCATTGGGCCACGGTTCTCTAACCTTGTGCTGCAGGCTCTGCTCGTATTATTGAAGAAACCTCCTCCTCGGGTGAGAATGTCCCCCATAATACTGACAGCCACAGATAGGGGGCAGCACCTCCTTTTCACAAGAAAATAGTTCCTATGATTGCTATGGTGCCACTCACCACATTGGTCGTTTATGCATAAACATATCAGTTATTTTAGTCTGCTAAAATGTATTATTTCACCCATAATGTTTGAGGCATTTAAAACCTCTAACCCAAGTATAATTCTAAACCAGTGGTTCTCAGACTATGGTCCGTGAAGGATTCCAAGTGGTCCTACATAAATAAAATTATTGACAGTTACCAAAATCAAATTATTCACTCTGTAAACAACTCATAACAATGAATTAATTTGTGGTAAAGTGTTTCTATTGTCTCTATTTTACTAATTATTTGAAATTATATGTGTTTGACTCAGCATTTTAGGTAGTGTACGGTAAAATATTTTTAGGTTTATTTGCTAAAAGCAGCAGTCTAGTTAATTTCATATATAATAAGTACATAATAAAAACAATACAGCATGTCAAAAATCATAGAAATGTAAAAACGATTTATTACATACTAGTGTTCAAAAGTTTGGGGTTGGTAATATATATTTTTTATGTTTTTGAAAGGAATTAATATTTTTATTCAGCAAGGTACTTTATAAATGTCTTTATTGTCACTTTTGATCACTTTAATGTTAGAAAAAATCGATTTCAAATAAATGCTGTTCTTTTGAACTTTCTTTTTATCAAAGAATTGTGGGAAAAAAATAGTTTTCTACAAAAATATTAAGCAGCACAACCGTTTTCAACTGTGAACCTATTAAGCGTATTAGAATGATTTCTTTTTAAATATATTAAAATAGAAAACAGTTATTTTAAATTGAAGTAATATTTCACAATATTACTGTTTATACTGTATTTTTTTTATCATATAAATGCACAACTGTAACTGTGAGTAGAAGAGACTTTAATCAAAAACATTAAATAATCTTAAAAACCCTAAACATTTAAACAAAGGTTTTAGATCGGTAAGATTTTAAATTTTTTAAAAAGAAGTCTCTTCTGCTCACTAAGGCTGCATTTATATGATAAAAAATACAGTATAAACAGTAATATTGTGAAATATTATGACAATTTAAAAAACTGTTTTCTCTTTTAATATATTTTAAAATGTAATTTATTCCTCTGATGAAAGCTGCATTTTCAGCATCATTACCCCAGTCTTCAGTGTCACATGATCCTTCAGAAATCATTTGAATATGCTGATGTTATGCTCCAAAAACATGCATTATTATTTTCAATGTTGAAAACAGTTGTTTACAATTTTTTTTCCCAAAATTCTTTGATGAATAGAAAGTTCAAAAGAACAGCATTTATTTAAAATAGAATCTTTTCTAACATTATAAATGTCTTTACTGTAACTTTTGATCAATTTAACTCATCCTTGATGAATAAAAGTATTTATTTCTTTTATTTCTTTCCCCCAAAAATAAAATAAAATAATTCTTACTGACCCCAAACTTTTGAAGGGTAGTGTTTAATGTTACAAAATAACTGTTGAACTTTCTATTCATCAAAGAATCCTGAAATTAAAATGTAAAAAACTGTTTTCAACATTGATAATAATCATATTAGAATGATTTCTGAAGGATCATGTGACACTGAAGACTGGAGTAATGATGCTGAAAATTCAGCTTTGATCACAGGAATAAATTACACTTTACTATATATTCACATAGAAAACAGCTGTTTTAAATTGTAATAATATTTCACAATATTGCTGGGGTTTTTTTTGTTGTATTTTTAATCAAATAAATGCAGCCTTGGTGAGCAGAAGAGACTTCTTTTAAAAACATAAAAAATCGTACTGATCTAAAACTTTTGACTGGTATTGTAGTATAATCTAAGGTGTACACTATTTGAGTGTCCTCCAATTTTTGAGTCTGTGCTTTCCCTCAATTTTTATTTTACTGAAAAGAACCACTAGTTAAACTTTTTTTGCGTAACTTGTCCCGAACCTTTTGTACTACAAAATCATGCGTCTTGCTGAGATGAGGTGTCCTGTCACTTCTCTGAGCAGCCACTCTTGTTTTTTTTTTAGCTTGAACCAGTAACTATGAATCTTGTTTTTATAATTTAGCTACATTTGAAATATTTATCCAAAACATTTTTTTTTGCTGCTGCAGTGTTTTTCATAGTTGGCCTCCCCTAACAAGCTACCGTTGCGTTGGCCAGCCTGGTGGCAGTGAGTGAGTATGTCAGGCAGGAATAGGTGTTGTGCTGTGTTTGTAAGGTGTTGTGAATAGCCGAGGGTCTTTTCCTCCAGATCAGGACTGCATAGAGCAGCACTCAGCAGGGAGTCGAGTCTTGGGTGAGTCGATAGAAAGGGTTTGTGAGAGAGCCGGGACCTGGCAGACCCGCTGCCTGTGTGGCACCTCATCTGCATGCACTAGCATATACTGGGCACCACAGGGGAGCGACCCATAATCCCCTCTGCTCGCTGGGGCCTCTGGGAATGGCCCACCTCTTTACTCCACGTACATAGGCACCATAGCATAATTGTACTAGCACGTCGCAAAATGCTCTTCTGACCTTTAGTGTTTTAAAAAGTACCATACAACTTGTATTTTATACTGCTTGTATTTGTACTGCAGGGTCGGAAGTTGCTGATTCTTGGCACAACTAGCAGAAAGGATGTTCTGCAGGAGATGGGCATGTTGGACTCTTTCAGCACTACAATCCACATCCCTAATATATCTAGAGGAGAACATCTCATGGAGGCCCTGGAGGTGAGGCTTTCAGAGAGTAAAAGAGATGAGAAATGTACAATGGCCCAAAAGTACCCTATATAGCCCACTATATCACATTTCATATGTGAATTAAGGTCATCAACATTTTCAAAATGTTGCTGAAAAACCTGCTCTACACAATCTGCTTCATGCCTTCTGTTGTCTTATTGATTGGTACTTAGTATCGTAAAAGGCCTTGTAGTATAATTCTAAAAATGTCCACCTTCAGGTCGTGGTACACGTGTCTTTCATCTTACTTTTTAGCCATATAAATAACAGCATCTGCACCAAATTGCATATTTTGGCTCAGTTTGAGTCTCTGAATAAAATTGTGTTTTTTTTTTACTTCCTCAAGTGTGAGCGTCATATTCTCACTATATGGGCCATAAAACCCCGGTGGATTAAATCGGAAACTAACACTAACAAGTTTGAGGGGCAAAAAAAAACAAAGTTCTTGAAGAAAACAATCTACATAGTAGAAAGGGTTTTCTGGGGGCTCATTAACATTTATCATAAAGCAGACCATCTGAAAAGGATAGTTCACCCAAAAATGACAGGTCTGTCATAATTTAGCTTTCTATGACCTTCTTTCTTCTGTGGAACACAAAAGAATACATTTTGGAAAATGCTGCAGTGTTTTTTTGCCAATACAGTGAAAGTCAGTGGGGGTTCAATGTTGTTTTGGACCCCATTGACTTTCACTGTATGGCCAACAACAATACTGCTTCTTGTGTTCTCATGTAATAATAATAATAATAATAATGTACATGTACAATGTTAATATGACCATAGTTTTTGATTGATTGTCTCTGGATCCTTAACTGACTTTTCCCCCCTCTGTCGTTCAGCTTCTTGGGGGCTTCCAGGAAGAAGAGCGAGCAACTATTGCAAAACAGGTGAAAGGACAAATGATGTGGCTGGGCATTAAGAAGCTGCAGATGCTTATTGAGATGTCACTGCAGGTGAGACACAGAAAGACCTTTTCACCCTGCGGGTTGTCTAGACGACTCCCTGAGTCACAGTTTTCCTGTGAAATCATCTGCGGTTTGAGTCACTGTCAAATTCAATTACTTTATGGAATCATAATGAAAACAAGCCCCTCCAGATGCGCCTTCCTTCTTGACACACACAAGTAAACAGAACTCCATATTCCTCATCTGCATGTAATTTGGTGTATGTGGCCTGCTTCTGCAGTTGATTGAAGCGTTTCACTTTCCCTGCCAAAACAGACTGCTCGCAAAAATTGTGCAATAATGTTAGCTGCTTAATGGTATCACATTAAAAACCAATACTAATAACAAATATCTAAAATACATCAAATTTTTTATTAAAGTTCACAGTGAAGAACTACTTTTCAAAATACATTATTTATAGATTATAAATACTGATCACTATAAGTCACTAGTTTAAAATATATATAAAATAAAATATTTTATATATATATATATATATATATATATATATATACTACCATTCAAAAGTTTGGGGTCAGTAAGATTTTTTTTTAATACTGAATTATTCAGCAAGAATGCATTAAATTAATCAAAAGATTTCAATTACAAATGAATACTGTTCTTCTGAACCTTTTTTTATCAAAGAATCCTGCAAAAAAAAAAAAAAGATCCACAAAATACATTAAGCAACTGTTTTCAACATTGATAATAATCAAAAATGCTACTTGAGCACTAAATCAGTATATTAGAATGAGACGTAATGTGACACTGCAGACTGGAGTAATGATGCTGAAAATTCAGCTTTGCCATCACAGGAATAAATTACATTTTAAAATATATTAGTATATAAATATAAAGTAGAAAACAGTTGTAAATTGTAATAATATTTCACTTTTTTTTATTTCAATGTTTGTGATGTTGTGATTCATCTCAGACCAGGTTGGTTAGAACTCTTTATTGAAGACATTTTTGAAATCCCTGTGGAGAAATATTGGGAGAAAAACTTCTGGAACCAAGGCCACTGAAAAACTGTCCAGTCACTGTTGAGCTCTATTATGCCAATGTTGGCTCAAAAAAAAACATGTATTTTTAGAAAATATTTTGAGTTCATTTTTGGGTACATTTAGACCATTAGTTCTAGATTAGTGCTAGTCTTGTTTAATGAGAGTTATATATGTCTTTGTTAGTGTTATATTGTTTTTGTGGTGGCGTAATTGGAGTTGCAGTGGTGTTTGGGCTGGATGCTGTGTAATTGGTGTGGTATGCAGTAATGTGGCAGCGTGAGTGCTTCCCCTCAGAGAGGAATGAGACCGAGTCTGCCGGGACATGCTGCAAACAGCCGCACTGCATTTTCCTCCCATTCCCTCTATTCTTTCAGTAATTTCCACTTCTTCAACAGCCCCAGGCAATTGAAAAGCTAAGTTATTGCATACACCTTCATTAATTTTCCTCCTCGTGCCTTCTCCCTCCTCAGAGCTTTCCTTTGTCCTTAAATCACATCTAGTCTATAAAGGAAAGTTAACAGTGCAATTTAGTTCATAAACATGTCAGAGAATGCAGCTCCTTAATTCATTTTCTATTCATCTCCTGTAGAAATGTAATTAGAGCGTAAGGAATTTAATGGTACAGTACAATTAAATTTATCTGGGATATTTTGTTTATTTTATTTTATCAACTTAGTATTCATATATCTTTATGTTCCATCTTGGTAATAAATATCACTAAACAAAATAAGCATGCGAGGGCATCAGCAGCACTGGGTTGTCTTACTGTCCTGGGTGAACAGGTACACCAACCTGCTAGATTTATCACTAGTCTCGTTACTTCCCCTTCCCGACATCCATTTACTGCCGCCCCTTCACAACTCCTCGCTGACGAATTCAGGGTCCCTCCGAACCCTCCAGGCTTTACATAGCTGGCAAGGTTTTTGTCTTTTAAACAGCTCACAACTTTTTGCAGAAAAGTGGGCTTGCATGGAACGTACAGTGGTGTAACAAAAAAAAGTTGTGATTTCACTTTTAATCTCTATTTTTCACCTCCCCATGGGTGTTTTTCTGTTTTGCTTTTTAGATGCCTCCGGAATACAGAGTTAAAAAGTTCTTGGCACTACTAATAGAAGAAGGATCGTAAGTCAATTTCTCAGTTTGCTTCAAATGGATTTTTCCTTCTTTATCATGCTGATTATTTTTTCATTAACATGTTGTTCATGTTGTTCTCCAGGTTGGGCTCTTCTAAATCTGGGGCAATATAGCCTCGGAGTGCAAAATACATACCAAGGCTATTTTGGTAGGAGTAACACACCAAGCTTTACTTTTCTCTGTCAGTGTTTCAGTGCAAAATTTGGAGATGCTTAAATATTGAAAACCTTGAGAGAAATTATCAAAAACCACAATTATGCATTTGGATGCATTGCATTGGAGTTTGGTTTGTAAAAAGTGACCCATTGGTTAAATAAAAATTTCCCTGTCTGCACAAAAAGTTTAAGAGGTAGAAGACATTTGTATTTTTAATTAAAAATGATATAAAAAAAATAATAATAATAATTTAAACTACTGTTCAAAGGTTTGGGGTCAGTAAGATTCTCTTTTTGGTAAAAAATAACATTTATAAAGTAACAAACGAGTTCCATTTCAAGTAAATGTGGTTCTTTTGAACTTTGTTCATCAAAGTATCCTGAAAAAAATGATCACAATTTCCACAAAGAAATATTAAGCAGCACGACTGTTTTCAACATTGACAATAATAAGAAATGTTTTTGAGCACCAAATCAGCATATTAGAATGATTACTGAAGGATCATGTGACACTGAAGACTGGAGTAATGATGCTGAAAATTCAGCTTTGATCACAGGAATAAATTACATTTTAAAATGTATTAAAATATAAGTTTTTTTAATTAATATAATATTTCACATTATTACTGTATTTTTGATCAATAAGCATAAGAGCATAAGAGACTTCTTTAAAAAAAAGAAAAAAGAAAGAAATTGTACCGACCCCAAACTTGTGAATGGTATTGTATGTTTTATTATCATTGCAATTTTTTTTTTTTTTTTTTTTTTAAATGATAAATAAAATAATATACATTGATGAATCATCCACAATGAGACCAGGGATGCTCATTAAGGCATTTTTTTTTTTATTTCATATTGTCTTTGTTTTAGCTTTTATCCATGAATAATATATGTGCACTTTTTCATAAGATTTCCTGTTTGTGTCTTTGTACCATGTGTTTCAGAAGCAGTTAAAGGAGTCAGGGAAACACTGGGTGCACTTGAGAGATGGAGACTCTCTATCCCTCACTTTCCTTAAGTATAGTGTACTAAACGGCACTGCCCCCTGTTCAACACTAGCTCCTCGATTCCATAGTGCATAGGGTCTCATATTTGTACAGGAATTTTGAAATAGCACATGCATGTATATGAGGACCCATAGGGTTTTTATGTATGTATATATATATAAAATGTATCATATTTATGATATGTGTATTTACTGACAGGAAACATTCCTGTCAATGATGCCTTACTCCTAAAATTGTGTAAATTTAGCAATTCTCTGACCAAACCTCTGCTCACTTTTCCCTTTGTCATGGATGGACTTATTATCTTAGAAACAGTCAGTGCCTTCCAATAACTATATTGAAATTCTCACTCCTGTGCCTTTGCATGCCAGTATATTGTTGTAGTTTGTTTATTGCTTTTATTGTTTTCGGACAAGAAGAGCAGTTGTTTTTTTAAGAAAGGGAACTATTCGTCCTTCTTAAGTCACTCTGGACATTCCATGTCAGGAACATAGGAAAGGTCGTAGTCTCAGAGATGAAATACCCCTCGTTTCAGTCTAATGGGTAACATAGTGGCCTTAAAAATTGTGTACAGGACGGAAACCCGTGACCTACCTCCCGTCTGCCAACAGTGCCGAGATACTTCACATTGGCCTTGAATTCTCCTCTTCTTTCGCATACACACATACTTTCTCTCTCTCAGAGCAATTAAGAAGAACATTATGCCCCCATTATGATTTTACTGTTGATCTGTGAAAGTAATAATTGAACCACATCAAAAGGACTTGCTCTTTAAATTTAAATGAGTTTTGTGTACACTTTTGATCTTGGACTGCATGTCTACACACTAGTACTTGTAGTAGATGTCCTTATTGCTGAACATTTGGAGCTTAACATGCTATATTATGTTTTCATGGCATGTCTCTTTAAGGAACTAAATAATACAACATATTTTTCCTAGAAAATTGAAATATAAATAACATCTTCAATGATTTCTGATTAAAATGTGGTTTTAAGATTGCAATAAATGACTCCCATTATTGTTGTTTTGTAATTAGCTTTTTTAAAAAGAAAAGTATCACATTTTCTACCTTCTCTCAGTCAGTGTTTGGTATTTATAACTTTTAAGTCACTGGTGCTGTCAAAAATGATCGATATATATATATATATATATATATATATATATATTATTTTTTTCTTCAATGAAATGAATGTACTATATTTTAGTTCAATAATGTTTTTTATTTAATATTGTGTATTTTTAGGGGATTTTATGGTACTAAATTATATGAACGAAATGGTTATTATGATCCATTTTTTACCTGTGAATCACTTTTTGAGCATAGACTTAAAAATAGAATTTCCGATTTAAACTGTCGTAAATCTTGAATGCTTTGGACTTAAACTTTTATCTTTTTTTTTTCACTTCAACAATAATCTGCCAAGTGTCTTCTTTAAAAAGAGACCAAACTTAATTTTATTATTAAGAAAAAAACATAAAAATACTATTTAAAATTTTATATTAAATATATATTTTTTACATGTTTTACTCTAACATGTTTTACTCTAAAACTGCGAGAAAGTCAAAACCATAAATCTAAACAAGTTGTGTTCTAAATTTGAGGTTGATATCTCAAAAAATCAGCTTTCAGTAAGATTTTGTTGGGCGCAGTACCAAAACATTTCCACTAGAAGAAATTCATTTCCAAAGTAGTTTTTGAGCGCGAATAGTACAAGTATGACTATTATTATTTTATTTTTTTGAACCTTTCAACCTTTTTGAATCATGTCCATGATTTTTTGTGTGTTCACATAGCAAGTGCCAAACTTTTACCCAGTTCCGTACCATTCCGATTAAGCAAAAAATAAATAAATAAAATGACCGAACAGCACCAGAGGCCAGGTTAATAACAGTGTGACTCTCAAATTGTCCATACAACACCAGGAGCCTACCGAATAATAATCATGAACAGGTAAAATATGTTTTATTTCAGTCAATATTTGTATAGTGCATTGTGTCATGTCATGCTTTACTCTGTCATTTTGTTTAGCTACTGTAGTGGAGACACCAGAGGTCCGCCTGCAAACCTACAGGATGATGTCAGCGCTGGAATGACAAGAGTAGATGCAGACATGGAGGTCAGATGATTGTGATCTGGTAGATCGAACCCTTTATTTAGCTGCGTGCCAGTGTTGCACAGTATTTTATTTTTATGCCACTATGGAGAAAATCATTGGTTGTTAAAAGTGTCATTATCCGCATTGCATATTAAAGGAGGCTACATATAGCACAATATATCAATTGTGCAAGAGCCAATCTTGTATTAAAAAGCAAAATCATGAGACTGTTTTGTTCTTCAAATATATAATCTTAGTTCAGTCATACAGATATATACATTGTGTAATAAATAATATTTATAAAAACATAACATTTTCAGATTATAAAATAAAAAGGGAATTATGAACTTTTAAAGGCTTTGTACAAAACTTTGGATATAGCGGAAGGAGAAATGGAAAAGGGAGCGTAGATGTGACCGGTGAGAGAGGGCTCCTCAAGGATTGGTGTGGATGTGAAGTAGCATTGCGTAGTTGAACTTAATTAACGGGAAGCGTATGGGACTGTCAGAACATGTCGTATGGAAACCTCCTCAAGTCTGTTTGAGCTTTGTGAAGCCAGTCTTTCCTCCATTTATCACAAACTCAAACCCGCACACAGCAGTCCTCCACTTCCAACACGCTCTCATGGCGATTCACAGCTATTTTAGGTTTTAGCCAATTGGTGGCTATTTCGTATAAACTTGTACGATCTTCGTACGTTTTCGTAGGATCCTCTTGTGCCCCGGTTAGGTTTAGGGATGGACCTTCGTGCTTGCTTTTTTCCCAAAAATGGTATCAAATTCACATTGTACGAATTCATACGAAATCGCCACATCGTAAAATCTCATGAGATCGGGTTGCCACTTCCCTCCTTTATTCACCCTCTTATTTCTTTCCTTAACTATCCTCCTCCTGTTCACTTGTTCTCCTTCCTCTAAGCAAACTTCTCATCAGGGAAGTGTTGAAACGGTGCCTTCACAGTCATATACGAGGAGCTTTATCAAAAAGAATATGTTAAAAATAATCGTCATAATCTCTAGAATTAGTATACTCATTAGTAGTTTTGTAAGTGCAAATTTTACTGGTCGGGTGCACGTGAGCCCAGTGCGTGTCGTCGCATTCTGCTGTCATGCATTTCACCAGCTGTCATGCACTCATCCAGAAGAGTTACCGATGGCTTTGCAAAATATCCTACTGAAATTTTAAAGGGACCCACAATGCCTTTTCCCATTTGCACCGCCCACAGCATTCTACGCTAATTTATCGATTGCATCCCTCCAAACTGCTGTATAAAGCGAATTAACAGGAGGTTTTTATGTAGCAAACAGCAATATGTTCCACGTTTTGAACATATATAATTATAGGGAATGTGGTAGTAGTGTTCAATATGTCCTTGGATGAGGAAACCTTAGAGGCCATGAGGGAAAACTTGAGCGATGCATTGGATTCAGTAGTATAGCAGGGCGCATTTCGAGACCCAGCGTTCAGTAGTTTCTCGTCGTCCTCCCTCCCTCCCATCCTCTTGTTCTTTCATGCGTGCCTAGTGTCATTGGTTGTAGGTGAACATATCCCGTTTCGGCCCCTGGGCAGTAGGGTGCGATGATCAGAGAGATGGTGTTACAGATAAAGAAGACTGAATGATAACAAGGCATTTTGTTCTTTTGCGGAAGTAATGCGTGCCACAAAAAAAAAAAAAAAAAAAAAGAGTGAGAGGAATGGCAGTAGTAACCATGATGCTCACGTTGGGCATCTTTTGGGGTGTGTAGATCAAAAAGGGCACATTAGTTAAGAGTTCTACCACAGAAGTGCCACTATCATGTGTGTGTTCTCAGTCTCTCCCTCTCCTTCTCTTGCTTTCCGTCCTTTAATGTCCACTAGTCCCTTTCTTCCTCCACCTGCTGCTCTTATTTACACGTGTGCACATCGTAGACCCTCACACACTCCTGGCAGCTGACGTAGCAGCACCAGTGGAAGATGCAGTGGCATTTCTCCTTACGCTTTTCTGTCCGTGTGTTGTGGCCACGGCCGCAGCACAGCAAGTCGCAGCCCTCAATGCCGTGCGACGACACGTTGCAGACGCGGTCACGAGTACCAAACGAACCCGTCTCTGGGTTTGGCTCGCAGAAGTTTGGAGATCCCTCGTAGTACACCAGGTCTCGCTCGGTGGGGTGTTTGAAGAAGGCGTATTTGGCGCGTAGGGTTTCCACCCAGCCTCTGGACTCCCGGTGTTTCTCCACCACCATCTCGGAGGCACTGTCGTACTTGTCTTTCAGGTAGTCCCCCAACAGCCGGAAATCAGGCTGCGCCCACCAGCAGGTCTTCACTTCACAGCTGCCTGACAGTCCATGGCACTTACAGCGAAGGTGCATGTTTTCCAGGATGGTCTGGAAAAGAGAAAACATTGGAAATTTGGTATTAGTTTTAGTTATCCATCAAGGACCATTTAAAATGATTGCGGTTGTGCCACTTAAAAATAAATGATTCATTTAATAACACAAATATAAAATGTAAAAATATTTATAAACAAATAAAAGAATAAATAGAAAATGTAATAAACTTTAATAAAATATTATTTTATAGTTAAATAACATTCAATTATTTATAAAAATGTTTTAACTACTTAAACATTTAAAAAACGATTTAATTCACATGTTAAATTGCAGTTAAATAAAACATTAGTTCATTAGTTAACTACATTAGTAGTTAATTACTAACTTCTACAGCATTTATTAATCTTTGTTAATGTTAATTTCAACTAATACATTATTAAAATCAACTGTTGTATTTAGGCATCTTTACACAGAAAAAAATCTGAAGCGGCAAATAATAATCACAATAAACAAAATAATTTGTTAACATTACTTAATGCACTGTGAAGTGACATGAACAGCTGTATTTTTATTATCTAACGTTAACAAAGATTAGCAAATACAGTCACAAATGTAGGCCTATTGCTCATTGTTAGTTCATGTTAATTAATAGATTAACTGATGTTAACCAATGAAATTTATTGTAAAGTGTTACCAATAAAACAAAAAGTGAATAAATGCATTTGCCAATTGATTTTAGCCATTTACCAATCATGTTTAAAACATGCTATTGGAAAGTTCACTCACTGCAGCAACCAATGAACCTTCAATCTCTCTCTCTCCCGTTAGATGATCTGTCATTGCAAGGATTCCTAACCACATTTAGTCTGAAACGTTGCTTCTTGTTTAAGAATTGTTGTATAAAAGCAGTATCACAATTGCCGTCATAGTGCATATGAATCTAAATTTCATCACTCTGATCTGTATTTAACTTCTGGCCTACAGTTGAATAGCAATCTTCATCATGTGATTATTGCCCGTATTATCACCCTGCCCGTTCTAAAGCAGATTTTTATGTCAGAATCCACACAAGTCTCCAACAACCTGGACTGCAAGTTCTTCTGGATGCTCTCAGGCCACAGGTTGTTGTTCAGGTGCTGAGCGTGCAGACAGGTCCTTGCAGTTCTCGTCTAATTCTCTTCTGAAGTCCCGCTTAATGGAGAATGCCATCGGCACTATACGTCTTTGTTTTGGTTTGTTTGCCTTAATTTGCTCGCTATATTTAGCTGCAGAATTCCCCAGCTGCGGCGGAAGGCAGGTGTTTGCAGGTCCCTGGGGGTCTAGTTGGGGCCGCTGACATCATGTCCCGAACTCTTTGGGCCCTGAGCGGGTCCCTCAGGCTGCGTGGAAACAATGGAGTATGCAAGGGTCCTGACAGGGCTGACGGTCTCAGTGCCTGCTCCTGTGGTCCCTCGCTGATCAAAGCACCGGCCTGTTGCAGTGTGGTCTCGCCTATTGCCCCTTAAGCACCTTTAACGCGAAAGACTCCCAATTCTGAGTCATGACAGCAGCAGTGACGGGCTAAACCCTGAACCCCAGTGTTATTCTTCCCTCCCTGGCTTCTTCAAACCACCAACTGAGTTTACACCTCTGTCACGGATTCAGTACAGATGCAAGTTATGAGAGGCATGAAAGGATAAGAGAGGTAATTACCCGGTAATTTCTCATGAAAATACCAGTTTTAAAGTTGAAAGTCTCTCGGAAAAGGGATCAGGAGATATTTGACAGATCTGTGGTGCATTAACACCTTTGTGAACCGCGGGGTAAGACCCACCCAGGAGTGGCACAAGTACAGCTTTGTTCTTTGTTTGGTTATCATGAACCTGATGGCTTGAAGGTGAAGTGTGTAATTTCTGTGGGACGTACTACCGGAATCACAATCAGTTTCAATGGCCTGACTGACACAAAAACAACATTTTGCTCAGCCAATCATGTGAGTTTGGGGCGGAACTACCTGTTTGTCCAAGCAATGACAAATGGAGTATTTGAAAGCAGTCATTATTTTGCATTTCTGTTTGGAGTGGCGCACAAATTACACACTTCACCTAAAGTGATTTCACAAATATGGTGTGTATTCTCAGCTTATCTCTTTTCACATTACATATGTCACCCTTCGGCATGTTAACAGCAGACACAATATTCAATTTCAAAAGGGTAATGATGATATCCAGTGGTACTAAGCAGAGGGAGATGTAAGGATACCTAAGTAAAGAAATACACAATATGGCTATAAGTATGTGGACACCTAAACGTCATCTTGGAATAAATTGGGGTCAAAGTCATTAATTAGAAGAGGGTGTCAACATACTTTTGGTCATGTGATGTATTTCTCAATGCTGTTTTCAACATGACATCCATCATGAGTACAAGGTACACTATACTGTTCAAAAGTTTGGGGGCAGTTTTTAATGTCAATGAAAGAAGTATCTATACTCACCAAGGCTGCATTTACTATTTATTATTTTCACTTAACACAGCAGCCATTTTTACAGTAGATCATACTCTAATTTATTCAAGTGCAAGACGCAAACAACACGTGCACACAGAAAGCCGCATCAGGAAAATCTGAACCAGCCTGTATGAGCCAGTAGAAAAATCCTTAGCGTTGAGCCCTGCTATATCAAATGCACAGATAAACGTGACATTGATTATAATGGGTTTATGTGAAGATTGTTTTAATTTTTTAAAGCCTATTCAATGTTAAAAATGATGGCTTTCAATTATACTTTCGTGCTGTAATTAATGGCTAAAATGGAGGGGGGAAATCCATTGAATTATGACACCAGTAGCAGCATTGATATCGGTGATACTGGCCTTCATTCATATTGTACTTAGTAAAAAGGTGCCATTAACCACATTGTAATACATCTTCTTTATGTTTCTTCTACAGTAATTTAGAGATTCAATGTGAAATTATTAAACTCTAAGATTCTATTACAAATTTGTATGTTAGGTATCATGTTTAATTACAGAAAAATGTGTGATTATTTATTTTTTAGTTGATTGACAGCACTAATTTTAAATGTAATTTATTCGTGATACGGCAGAGCGGAAGTTTTTTTTAGCATCATTATTCCAGTCTTCAGTGTAACATGACCCTTCAGAAATCATTCTAATATGCAGATTTAGTGCTCAAGAAACATCACTTAGTATTATCAATGTTGAAAACAGGTAGATTTATACATTTATTTCCAGTTTTTTTTATGAAAACAAACCCAGGATTTTGTAACAGAAATGTCTTCAATGTCACATTTGGTCAGTTTAATGCATTGTTGCTGATTAAAAGTAATCATTCATATATACCATTTTTTTTAACAGTAAAGTGTACATATGGAATTATTCATATAAAATCAACATTATTTTTTTTGAATGAATTATAAAGATCATGTGTCTCTTACCATCCGTCCTGCCTCATTGTTGTGCCTGTTCATGGCACTCCGGGCATCGGGTCGGTTCTCACGAGCGTCGGCAAACTCTCGAGACACCAGAACCCCAAACTCAGCATCTTCACTGCAACCACCCCACTTCCATCCCTCTCCCGGCGGGCCTTTATGATGGGAGTCACAGCCGCACATTGTGGAGGTCCCCTCTGCGCACGAACGGGTCACTGCAAACGCCACTCCAGCTGAGGCAATCGCATGAACAAATGCAGATTCTCTTGTGGCTTGAGAAAAGAAAGAAGAAAGTGATTTTCTTTGATGACATTTGTGTAAACATTTCTTTATGTCCCTGTATGTCTGTCAGAAGAACCTGGAAAACTTATATGTCCTGGTCCAAAACCTAGTGAGCTGCCTACTTCTGCAAAGACTGTTCTGAAAGGTAGGCAACTTAATGTTGCCTTTTAAAGGGATAGTTCACCAAAACTGAAAATTCTGTCATTGTTTATTTCCTCTGGTGTCATTCCAAAGCTTTGACTTTCTTTATTCTGTAGAACATAGAGCTGATATTTTGAGAAAGGTTATTACTGAAACGGGCAACTAGAGCACAAAGAATTTACAGTGTTCTATTACAATAGTGTTCTTATTGTAATGTTATGCATATTTCAGATTGGCGCTGCACATCTTGCACTTTACTGTATTTTCATTATCAAAGTGGTTACGAGCATCATTGCGCGACACTTTAGTTCTACGGTCTGGACTCTGGACGGCATGCTGTCCTAACACTAACCAATCAGACTAAGTTCACGTTCGAGTGTCACGTTCGAGTACTCATGATCATCAATGGATACTGCTCTCTACAGAACTAATTGCCTTTCAAGGACAATAAAGTAGAAATTTTGATGGCACATGGAGTTGCTGCATATCGAGAGCATTCCGAATCAGTAATTTATGAGGTTCCACAACAGTTAGGATGCTGCCCTAGAAGTCGTGTAGTTAGACAGCGGGACAGCTCGCTCCCTTTTGGAACTGAGCTATAGTCTATCCTGAGGCTCTTGTAAAAGGTTTGAAGGAGATCCCTGCTTCTTTAACTGGTGCCCTCCCAAAAGTCTCTCATCTATCTCTGCTGTGTCTTCAGGGCATGGATCGTTTTCTGTGATGAGCTCTGGAATATATTGACGAGGTGTTTGAGTGGTGCGCTGTAAACGTCTCTGACAGCACCGGGACGATTGTTGATCATGTCACTTGTGGCTAATGCAGCCCGAGGTTGCGCTGACGTTGTGTCATCTCAAAGGTGTGCTGGTTTCTCTCTGGATAATGTTTCAGGAGCCCCCCCAATCTCCCACCAGTCCGAGCCCCGCGGCCACGTGTGTGAAAGCCAGCAATAAGTCTCCGTGTTTGGTTTCTGAAGGCATGTGCTGAGAGATGGAGTTACGCCCCCTTTGAATGTAACAGCTTATTATGTAACCAGACACCATCGTTTCACAATCGCAGCACACTTACTGTGGCTCACCAGTTCTCTTGGTCCCCACAGGAAAAACTGCAACTCAACCAAACCCAATACAACTTCATCACCCCAAACATTTAAGTGCCTCTAATGACAGTGGTTCTCAGACCAAGTTTGTCAGGGATCAGTAAGGCCTATAATGGTGTAAGATTTATCTAAAGGAGCGCCCACACACATGGAATATGCTGTAATGCGGATAATGTGAATTTGTGACCAAAACAGAAAGCCTGTTCACTATGTTATGTTTAGATGATCATTGTCATGGTAACGCGTGTTATCGTTTTAGTACATTAATTCTGTAAGTTTGTCCAGCAGTCTTACTGAGGACAATCTTGGATGTATTTTGTGCTTTCAACTGTTGGCTTAAAACAAGATTGAACACCACTGACTGTAATTGTGTGGACAAAAAAAGGAGACTTTTTTCAAAATACCTTGTTTCACAGTAGAAAAAAAGTCATACAGGTTTCGAATGAGGTGAGGGTGAGTTAATGATGATATAATGTTAATTTTTGAGTGACCTATTCCTTTAAATCCTTAATACACTGCCATGAGCTGAAAAGATATCTATGAAAAGATAAATGCATGATTGCGATTCAAGCTGTAAGTTGTAGTGGTATAGGGTTTCATTTGAATCACTTATTACGTTCTATGGTGGTTAGTCGCCTATGTAGACAGTAGTGCGGCAGCTTAGTTTTCTGATTTCTTGTCAGTGTTTGCTTGCTTTGATATCGTATACCCAAGTATACTATAGTATATTTGTATACTACATAGTAGCCGAACAAGTATTCATAAAACAGTTTGAGAAAAGTACCCAGATACTACTTCTGAGATTCTGAAGTGCACATCCAATGGACACTTTACTATCCCATGAGGCCACGGGAAAGGAGATGTGAATGCCAGTGAAGTGGCGCAGCTTACACAAGTCACATGACAAAGTCAACATGCGGATGCAGCTCGTCTGGATTTCGTTCATACTACACATTCATGCTAGCCTGGTTAAAACCAGACCATTCTCAGTTGTAACTGAGTTATGGTCTGGCAAAGCGTCATAGACAAATCATTTCCAGAGGGGCGTCACCAACGGACGTCGCGGATAGACCTAAAACCAATCAGAGCGATGAAAGAGATGACGTATGCAGAGCGGTGGAGAAACATCTCCGAGTGTTGTTCTTCGTTTGGTTTTTAACTAAAAGGAAACGTTCAAATCGCTTAAAACAGACGCGATAGCTGATTCGAACGAGTGATGTTCGACGGCGGCATCCATCTTTGTAATGTAGGCTACAAAATCATATTCAAAATCCCAGCGCTGTCGTCATCGTGTAAAGCCCGCCCCAACGTTTCTGATTGGTGCCGCGATTTCGGCGGATTGGAAATGAGCTTGAATGAGCTCTTTGCCAGACTAACTTTCAGAGCAAATCTAAATTTGCCGGAAGTTGTCTGGGTTTTCCCAGGCTACATTCATGCTATATAGAAAATGTATTTTTTAAACAGTTTCAAAGTTTGTTCCTCTTACTCAGTATGTGATTTCGGACACAACACTACTGTACTGTATATGCTATGCTCCTGAAAATGAACAAAATCATTATTTAGCAGATATACAGATTTCAAATGTATAGTCTCTCTCTTCCAGAAAAATATTGATGACTCATCCTGCACTGCACAGATTTTTGTCCAATCAGATCTCTCCTCTTGAATGAATGTCCCTCGGCCCCAACTAGACCCACAGGGACCTGCAAACACCTGCCTTCCGCCGCAGCTGGGGAATTCTGCAGCTAAATATAGCGAGCAAATTAAGGCAAACAAACCAAAGAGAATGTCCCTGATTAGCAAATAGCAAATTATGGTTCATGACTGTGACGTAACTAAAGTCGTAGTCTATTGAGGCCAATCTCTTTGAATTTGTCCCACGCAAACTTCCTGTTTCAACAGGAAATGCATGAACACAGGACAGAAAACTGTGTTCATCAAGCAATTTCACAGGGTCTTTAAGACATTATGGACGTCCGTTGATGTCTAGCTGTTTCTCATGAATTTGCAGACTCATCTCACCCCTGGTATTCTTGTTTTATTCTTGCAGGAAGTTCATGTCCGCACACATAGACAAACAGTCCTTTTTAATAAAGGTTGTGTTTGGGCGCGCACCTCTCTGGGTTTGCTGCCAGAAGGAGGCCCAGTTGGTTCTGGCAGGCCCAGCTGGGTTCACCACAACAGAGAACTGTGAGCTCTGGGCCCCAGGAGCCCTGGCCAAGGGCCAAGAAGAGCGCAGCTCCCGCTACCTGCTGGGTCCATGAATCCGCCTTTGTCTCTGTGTTGTCACACCGTATTACCCGCACAAAAGGGCCCAGCACCCCGCACCCCATAGCCCAGTTCAGCGCTGCCCAGAGCAGGGGCTGGCATTCCTAAAAAGGAGTGACCCCCCCCACCTCCTGTGACACACATACACAAAACACACATACATCTCATACCAGCCACTATGCCAAAATATTCCAAAGCATTTATAAAATCCAGTTAGGACCCATCAGGCCAATCCGGATGCAGACAGAGACCCTACTTCCTTATCTTCACCTCATACTGTCCATCTCCTTCATCCTCTCCTTATCCCCCTCTTGAGTTCCCCCTGCCTTCCACCTCTCTTCCTCCATGATGGGGAAGGATGGGAGATTCCCTTTCAGCCTGCTTTCATGACACAGTCAAAAGGGCGTGTGAATGGGGCGTCCGTGGGAGCCGGGCGGTAAGAGGCACACAGGGATGGCTCATACTGGCCTTCATGCACAGTAGGGGTCGAAGTGAACCCTCTAGCCCTTTTCTATGGCTTGTAATCTCATTTTGGCCTCCCTTCTCTTTTTCTCTCTCTCTCTGTCTCTCCTTCACACACTGCCTGTTCTTGCTCAGGTCCTGCACTTCGGATAACTGCTTTAGCATCTTAACCGTCCAGAAAGTCTGTGATTTTGTATGGGAGAGATCCATTTAGCATCCTTTCTGTCACGACTGGGAATCGATGTTCTCACTTAGGAAATGATTTAAGTAAAGTTACTCTTGTCCCTTTCACCTCAATTTTTCAGAACCATTCACATCTAGAGTATCAGAAATTTTATGGGAAAACCCCACATATGTAATGTCAATTAAATGTTATAGCAAGATGGAAATTGAAAATATTACACATTCTATTTGGACTTTTATCTTAAAGAGCTGTGAAATCGCTTGAGCAGTTTTATTTTCTGTGTTGACATTTTTCTATTGAAACAGCAAGTTTGGGTGGGACATATTGAAGGAAGTGTTCGTTTTTATGCAGGTTTATGTTTAGTTTTTTGTCTTTTTATGAAAATGTTTTTTAAGGGTACGTTTACACGACAACGATATGCTTAAAACGGAGACGTTTTTCTTTTGAGTTTTCCGCATACAGACAACACCATTTTCAAAACAATCCCCATTCATACGGATCCGCGAAAATGACTAAAGACACTGTATTCTGCTGCCAGGCCATAGATGGTGATGAAACACTCTAGACTGAACAGGTAATACGCATGTGTATAATGTAATCGTCTTCAGAGATTTGCGTTTTTGTTGTTTACACGGAGACCGTTTTCAAAAACTTTTACTTTGTAAACTCGTTTTCAAAAGTTTGCGTTTTCAGCGTTTTTGCGAGTAAATGAACGGCCAAAACGCATACAAAGTTTTACGTTTTTTGGTTGAAAACGGTGTTGTGTAAACAGCCCCTTAGTCTATTGAATATTTCATCATAGCATAATTATTCATGTTCGTCTGTTGTATTTCCACTGAAGTGGCAAATAAATTGGGTTGATGAAAATTACATTTATTTAATTGTTAGTTTAAAAACACGACAGAATAAACTTTATGTTTGGTACTAAACATTTTGAAAAATGCATAAACATTTATTAATTTGATTATCTCAAAACATATAAGGGAAAAATAAGCAGTGAAAACCTTAGCTAGCATATCATGACTTTTAACCAATATTAGGTAAGCTACTGATTTTTTTTGTCATTTAAACTATGATTTACGTGTCTTGGAGACTATTTTAGGACATTTATTTATATGAAGCCTGTTATGAAAACAGTTTGTTACATATTCTGACTACTAGCACGTTCCTCTGTGATTTTGTTTTATTGTGTAGTTGGAAATTGTACAGTTGAGCAATTAATTAACCAGCTAAAGTGGTTCAGTTTACAACGTTCAGCTCTTTCAACTAAAGTGGAGTAATCCTCTATGGTAACACTTTAGTTTAGGGTCCAATTCTCACTATAACTAGTTGCTTATTAGCATATATTACTAGAATATTGGCTGTTTGTTAGTACTTATAAAGCACATATTAATGCCTTATTCTGCATGATCATATTCTACATCCCACAGAAACCAAAATTTCTGGGGACAGCAGCATGTGTCCAAATTTTTATCTTAACCGTTCTATTTCATCAGAAACGGTCTTAAAACAGGGCTTTAAGTGTAAAATACCGAACTTGTCCTTTAAGCCCAATAATGTCTTGCAGTATTACTTACTTGTCTCTTCATATTTTCAATAACAATATTTTTAAATTAAAATAGACAAATTCAATTATCATCATGATTTTTAAATAGTTCACTTGCCACTAAAACATGATTTGCTACTAGCCTGCTGCAACTTTTAGAAGTATACTACTAGCATATGGTTGACCTCAAAGCAAATACACCTAGACTAAAAGCAGTTGTGGTATGTAGAAGATTTTATTATGGCAATTTAAATACTAACTAGACTGATGTGTGCTGTTAACCCATACCTTTATCAAGTACTGGTCCAAATATGGCTAGATTGTCCTTGATAGTGGTGCAGTTCCACCTGCGGCCACGGAACTGGTGCTGACATTCCTGGATTCCCAGTTTGACCCCCTCCGCTACACTGGGCATGATCTCAATGTAATTGCGGCAGAAGCGCAGCTGTTTTGGCACCAAGCCAGGTATGGAGCCACACAGGATGGGTTGTGATCCTATGGATGAGTACTGCTGCCCAAGGGCCAGGGACCTGAAACGCAAGTGTGAAGATTAGACCCACATCTGGACACAAATCTAATTCTTTACTGGAGGAAAGTTGTTCAGAGCGATTGCGTAATCTAATCTTTTACTTAATGTGTATTTTTTGTCACCGTTATTATGGTTTGTATAGTTTGCATGTTAGTTTAGTAATGAATGTTAGTGTTGGAAAGTAGTGATCTAGCCAGTTATTATAGTTATTATACCATCTTATTGATGATCAGTTAAATCCCCTCCAAGAGGTGGATTTTTTTCTGTTTGTGGAAAATAGTGAAAGCTTAGAATATTTATGTCTTTGCCGATCCAGTTTTTTAACCCAAATCCTTTTTGTGTGTGTGTGTCTGTCATTTGATATTTGGCTGTTGTTAGTGTATTCATGTGTGTGGTTGTGTGCAGTAGCTGAGCTGACAGCAGATTCCTTACAGATTTCCTTCTGCTCCAAACAGTGAGTAGCTCAAGGGTTTCACAAACACTTCATAGAAACAGCCCCAATCTATTAGTTTTTCCAGATACGATTGTACTTTCACAATGGAAATTAATTGTATTGCCGTCTGTCTAAAATAAGAATGAAATCACACAATTACCTCCCTGTTTTGACAATCATACTTGGTAAAACTTTATTTTGATGATTACTTTGTTACATGTCAACTACTCTCATTAGAGTATTAGTAGACTGTCTGCTTAATATCTGCTAACTCTTTATTGTGATGGTCCTCCAACAGACATTCTACTGACTATAAGTAACTGCAACTACATGTCAACTTATTCTAATCCTAACCGTTCCAGTCTACTAATACTCTACTAACACTCTAATGAGAGTTAGTAGACATGTAGGTTAAACATTACTTATAGTCAACAGAATGTGTTAAAAGGACCATCAAAATAGAGTGAAATCGCATACTTTAATAATAGGTGTAACCCTTAGGCCTACTCTCCTTTAGCACTGTTGCTGATTATCACATATTTTTAAATTTTGTGTGTGTGTGTGATCTGCCTGTTCCATAACATATTCAGAACACACACGCTCTGACTGGAGCTGCAATAAGTCAAATATTCAATGTTGTAAATCCTGTCAGTGTCTGGAAAAGATTCAGTTGTACAGCAGAGGAATCTATTAGCAGTTCAATCCTCATTTTCTCACAGACAATGCTATAAAACATTTCTGCATGAACCTCTGAACCCAATGACTCCTTATCTGTTGATGTCACATTCTGTAAAGATCATTTAAAAATGTATAATACAAAAGACTATAAATTCTGATAGGATGAGCCAATGCCATTCTTTAATGCGCCAAGTACCTGCCAACTGTACTAAGTCTACAGTTTGGATAATGAACTATTACTATGCAGAAGAATGGTTTAATCTGATTGTTAGTAAATCAAAATTTGAACAGACATCATTATCATATTGCTGTGGCCACCAATGTATAAAACAGCATGCCGTTTGAGGCCCCTCATGATTAAAGTCGTAATAGCTAAAACTGAAGTAGCGATCCTTTTTTTTTTCATATTTAGACATAGCCTACATCTGAGTGACACAGATTACCGAAAAAGAAAAAATATTGGGTTCTATGCATTGGTCGTTGGTTGGATGGAAGCAGGTCTTAAATTGCAGTTGATTGTAAGAAATGTGCAGGTTTATTTAGTCAAAATGATTGAAGAAGTCTGTTTCACTGTAAGGTCGGGGTTGACATTTCGATTAAGAATTGTGAGGTAAAAAAATAATTAAAATAACCCAATAAAAGAACTCTACACTGCCAAATATATATTTTTGTAATTGTTTTCAGACCCTGTGAATTTAAGCAGCTGCCTTGAGTGCGCAAAGACAGTACTCCATGCTTTTATGATGAGATATGCTGCCTGGCAGCGCTGGCATAGACGCTGTCTTGTGGGCCAAAGGTTTACCTGGTTCCCCCTTCAGGCCAGTGGAGGATCACACCTATTAGAGATCAGCCGCTCACGATTACCTCAGGCCCCCCGCGGGGTGCAACCCTATCACAGCACCAATCTCCCTGACAGATGAGTGTACTGCTGCACCCCTCACACACAAAAGCCCCAGCATTGAAGTCAGAAGAGAAAAATCCCCCTCAGAGGCTTCTCGGCTTCTCTTTTGCTCTCCTCCCTCGCTCCAGTCGTACATTCCCTCTGTTTGATGTTGTGTGAAACCGTGAACACAGAGCTGGGAGATGTTAACGGGCTGCCAGGAATCAGAGGAGGTGTGAGAGGTGAGTCTTTGTATCAGAGGAGCCGAGAGTCTTATGTTAAGATAATTTGCGTTGTCTCGCTGCCTTTGATGCATCACATGGGTGCGTCACGGCACCGTCAACTTTGTCATGGAGTTGACGTCATAACGCTGATGTTTGTGTCCGTAGGTAGGTGAAAGTGGAAGTGTTTAAAAGCTGCACAGGTAAACATTACATGTCTCTCTGTTATATAATATTCCATACTACCGTAATCTATTGTAAAATTGTCAAACACATCCCTTAAAGCAGTGCTTCTCAGCCTTTTTTTGTCCATTGTCCAACTCGATATTCAAAGGCCCCTACATAGATATTTCTGCCAGTATTTCTGCTGTAGTTATGACAGCACTGCTTGCAACGCCATAAACTGGGAATGCTGATATACTAAATTCATTAAAGAAGATTCAAGAATAATTCAAATTCAGTATAAACATAGAGTCAGTAAGTTATTGAGGGGGAAAAAAGACCTGACCTGACATTTTTTTCTTAAAACTAATTTAAGTATATTTCATATATATCAAATACAACTATTCTATATTTAATGTGTTTTTAAGGAGTTTCATTTGATTGATTTTTGATATAATTAAATAATTTATATACATAATCAAATAAGGCCCCCCAATGGTCCCCGAACCCCAAGCTGAGAATCACTGTCTTAAAGGGATAATTTACCCCAAAAAGAAAGTTGTCATCATTTACTCACCCTCATGTTATTCTAAACTTTTATGACTCTGTTTCTTTTCTGGGACACAAAATATGTTTTTGTCCACACAATGAAAGTCAATATGGTCCAAAACAACATTTGGACCCCATTGACTTTCATTGAATGGACAAAAAAACAACAATGAGACTTAAAAATAAATAAATAAAATCGTTTGTGTTTCACTTAAGAAAGATAGTCATACTGGATTGGAATGACATGAGTGTGTGTAAATGATGACATAATTTTCGATTTTAGGTGAACTTTCAGAGCAGTGAATCTAGTATGTTTTTGTTTGCCTGTATTTATACTGTATTTGTAAGCTTCACTGTTTTCCATCCAAGAAGCCATGGTTACAGTATGACATTTTTATAGTATGTCATTCATTTACTCCACCATGTATTATTCCTATCAGTTTAGATTATTATTTTGTAAGTGTCTGACAGAAACCCCAACCCCTTACATAGGAACTTACTGGAAGCAGAGCCTGTTTTCTGCTATGTTTGCTGAGTGAGTAAGTGGCATAATTACACATTTGCTTGCAGTGTAACTGTCCATTAATCTCTCACCCATGTGGATGATTAGTGTGTTGGTGGTGTGTGTGCGTGTTGTGCTGAATGGGGGATCAGTCTTTCTCGGCCGTCTACAGTGTCTATGTATCAGGTAGACTCCTAATTAGATGTGGATGTGTTTGGTTTAGTTAATTACTAAACCGCATGCTTTGATACAGACCCGAGCGTGCTTACATCGCATGCTTCACGTCCTTAGTGATCTGTGGTTTGTTTGTTTGGGATGTGCACCATTGACTCTGAAGTGGATGAGAGAAGAGGAACGCGTCAGTGTGGAGGGATCGCAAATGCTTAAATACACACCAAAACCGTTTTGAGGAAAGAAGGGTGCGGCGACACAACCGAGTGGGGAATACAAACATTGGGTTGATATGAGTTGCTAATTTGTCTGCTGGAATCTGCTACTGCAAGGAGACACAGTGAAGCTTTAGAGTCTAGCAGGTGCTTGTCTGAGCAGGTTTAGGGCCTCCTCTAGCCTTCAGGTGTTCTCGCTCACTTTCCGTGCTGCTGGGTGGGTGGTGACTGCAGCGCAAGATGAAAATAATGACGCAAGCATTAATGAGCCATTGCAAATCACAGCTACTAGGATTATGAAGTGAGGGAATTCCTCTTTACACAAAACAGAGAAATGTTCTTTTGTCATTGGCTCTCACTGGCTAAAGATTAAAGGGATACCCACCCAAATTAAGTCAGTTTTTTTTAAAGTCAATTAAGACGGGGGTTGTCATGATAATAAATAAAATTGTTTTTACATTTAATTTAGGCTTTTATTCACATATAAAGACAAAAAAGCATAAAAGTAAGACCCATTGTACTTCGTTAAAGGATTAGTTCACTTATGTTCACCCCCACGTCATCCAAGATGTTCACGTCTTTCTTTCTTCAGTCGAAAAGAAATTTTGAGGAAAACATTCCAGGATTTTTCTCCATATAGTGGACTTCAATGGGGTACAACCAAGATACACAACGGTTTGAAGGTCCAAATTGCTGTTTGAATGCAGCTTCAAAGGGCTCTACACGATCCCAGTCGAGGAATAAGGGTCTTATCTAGCGAAACGATCAGCCATTTTCTAAAAAATAATAAAAAATACATACACTTTTTAACTGTGAAAAGTGTTTTTTCCCATATTTTGAATTATGCATGGGATTGTGTTGTATTTTAGAGTTAAAGGAAATGTCTGTGCTGTGTTTTAACGTTGAAGGAAATGTCCAGAAACTGACGGATAATGTCTTATAACTGACTGACTGGTAAACGAAAATTACCAGTACTTTTTATGTTTTTCTACTGATTTTTTTCTACAATGCATTGACCAGTGCACATACATAGAGCACATCATATGTGGTAAATGGAAGCACAAATGTACTTGTATGACATGCGAGAACGTATCTTACTGGTTCTCACGCATCGAGCAAGCACATTTGAGCTTCCGGGTACCATATTTGATGTGCCAAAAAAACACATTAAAGCCTTAAATTCTTTAAGT